ATTTATTTCATGGTATTGTAACAAGCAAACGTTGAATACATTTTTCATTCGTGTAAGAAGAATTATTTAACACGATAAATTTAGCTGTACTATGGTTATTTTTAATCTACGACCACAGGTCAACCTGATTTTTAATCCCTACGAAATTAATTTAACCACGAGTAAGTAACGAGAACGCTAAAACCTATGTTTCCATTGAAGAATATTGTAAAAACGTATAAATTGTTATATGCAATGTTATAACAAATTGTCGGAAGTATAAATTTTTAATAAAATTGTGAAAATTGATAAATTATACCGTGTTACGATATCGGAAATCTCCCGCGAAAATCTCCCGCGAAAATTTCCCGCCTGACCTAACCGACGATTTTGCTAATGACTTTGGGGAGAGGGTACCGCAGGTATATAAGGACCCGCCGATGTCCCGCGAAATCATTTACCCTTTATACTGGGCCCTAGACACTTCGCGGCGTATTTTGACCTGAAGGTTCTGAGATGTGAATAGAGTGGTCGGGGGCTACTAGCTAGTCTATGTCCACCCTGTACACACTCAGCCTTCTTGTAACACTTGTATACATTAGAATCAATTAGAATTTCTATTACTAATTATTAAACAAATTTTAACAATTACCGGCACTCGCTAGGCACGTAATATCAGACTTTAAATACTCGACTTCGAACTTCGGTTTAGTCATAATTCTATTAATGTTATAATAACGTATAATTTATTAATTTTCACAATTTTATTATTAATTTATACTTCCAAAAATTTGTTAAAACATTACATATTATTATTTATACATTTTTGCAAGTTTCTTTGACAAATAAGTACGTTTCAACGATCTTATTACTTTCTCGTTGTGAAATCAAGTTCGGAGGATTAAAAATCAGGTTGACCCTTGGTCGTAAATTTAAAATAGCCATAGTGAAGGTGAAATTATTATTTTAAATAAATGTTTCTATACGAATTAAGAATCTATTCAACGTTTGTTTGTTGCAATACCGTGAAATAAATTGTATTATATATTTTCTCAGTTTAGACTGAATTTAAAGTTCGTAAGGATTAGAAATCAGGTTGACCTGTGGTCGTAGATTAAAAATAGCCATAGTGAAGGTAAAATTATTACGTTAAATAATTGTTTTTATACGAATTAAATATTGATTCAACGTTTATTTGTTGCAATACCGTGAAATAAATTGTATTATATATTTTTTCTGTTTACACTAAATTTAAAGTTCTGTTTACATGTTATAACAATTAGAATGTAGACGTTTTGCCGTTTCACGGTTTTTCCTCTGTTAATTATGTGTTTATAAATCATTTCAAACTAAAGCAGCACCATGCCCACCCTTAATTAAACCGTCTCAGTAGTTTACCGTAATTAATAATCTATTTTCGGAATTTATACGAGAATTTTTGAATTTTAGTAAATACTAGAGTCAGTGCATCGCGTATTGAAATAATAGCTTCATCCCTAGTTCGTTTATTATTGAATATTTTTACGCGTTTAACTTATGCTTCTCCCCAATTCTCGTCGCGTATTTTATTCAAATTTTCTTATATTCTAGAATCGAAAAAGATACGAATTCGCGTTTTTTCTTTTGATTCTTTCAATTTTTCAATTGCATTACGCATTATTGCAATAATTTCTATCGTTACATTTAATTCTAATTGTTTAGCAGCTTTTCTGCTGCTATCGACCCTACATTTTACTGACACTTGTGGAATCGACCCTACATTTTTTTTTTTTACGTGGAGGTAGGCCGCCTCTATGTGATAAACAATTGGCAACTAAACGGTGGCTCGGTAAAGCGATATATTATGAAATTAAATTAATCACTCAATAAGTATTAACATTAGATTGTTTCCTCGATATGGCCATGGTGGTCATCAGTGACTGGAGTGCCTCAAGTGTTTAGAATAATTAAAATAAAATAAATGTTGTCAACTAAAAATTTTGAACGTCATAGCTAGCTAGACATTATTTTCAATTGAAAAAAAAAATTATAAAGCATAATGCTATAATCCTATGCTTAAAATGTATTTTCTTGTGGCCGCCTGACAGCAACCTGTAAATCTGGCGCGACAGTGAACGTGTTAATAAGTAAATGTTGTTCAAATTATATCGTGTTTGATATCATTTTCATCAGAAAAATCTCAGCAACATGTTAAAAAAAATTCCAGGTGAAGAAAAGTAAAATTAAAGACATGATATTTTTCTATTATGATTTGTCGAGCCGTGTAATCTCGTAAAGGAAACCGAGTGGGTGTAGCGTTAGACGCTTGACTGACTGCGAGCGAGATAACATGGGCGCAGCAATGACGCAGACCTAGGCGTAGGACCATCTATACTGTCACTTGTAGAATCCAAATTTAATGACTCTTGTAGAGAATTTACTGTAGTCGGTGGAAGCGATAGAGCCAATCTCTGACACTTGATGCTTCAAATTTCTGCTTATAATCCTTTATCGAAGCTACACCTTCGAAAATCGGGCTATCTTGTTATATCGTTCGATTCGGTCTTTGAATTTTCGGTGTGAGGGTCTCTTTACGGCCCTCCTCGCCGAGTGGACGTCCTCGGGTGGTGAAAAACGCGCAGTTGAACCAACGGGATCGTGGTTTTCCAAGCAGGGATCGATAACGAGGCATGTTGCATAAAAATGAATTATGGGAACGTGCTCGCATTCCGTTTGTGGGAAACGGCTCGCGAGGGCACACCCCTGTTGGAAATGTAACGGCGAAACGTTTTCGTGACGAAACAGCCTACCCAGCTAGCCGGTAAACAAATTGCTTCGTCCCGATTCTGGTATCGCCAACGAACGATTGTCTTTCCGATTCCCACTCGAATGGGAATGTCTTGACATTTTCATTACAACAGAGAAAAAAAAGGGCGTGAGGACATTGGCTTCCTGTAACAGCTAACCGTAATGAGAATCGATCGGAGGAAAAAATTGCGATTTAAAGGCTGGAACACGGACGATCTGAAAGTTTTACGTCGCGGCTAAGTATGTGGTGCGAAGGTCGGAGAATCGAATGATTTGTGGAGAACAAGTCTGGATATTTTTGTGATCCAGAGGAATCGCGAAGCACCGTGTGTATCGTTGGATGGCTTTCAAACAAGTTTTCGAAAGGCCTCGGGACTCTGTCGCCGTGTGTGTGTCGACGCGAGAAACGAATAGTCGTCGAACAGGTGAAAATGTCAGAAACAGCGTTAAATGTTAGCATCGTGGAGTCACGTGCCCGTTTTAAAACGTTCCACCGGACAGTATAATAGCGTGCACCGTTTCACGCGAGAAACGAATAGTCGTCGAACAGGTGAAAATGTCAGAAACAGCGTTAAATGTTAGCATCGAGGAGTCACGTGCCCGTTTTAAAACGTTCCACCGGACAGTATAATAGCGTGCACCGTTTCAACCGTTTCAACCGTTCTAACATTCCGCCATCCGATCTTCGGATTGAGAATTTTCGGAGCTGACCGCGGTTCGCCAGGTTGCACGTCGCGATAGAACAAAGGAAGCGAGCCTCTTGTTATGCACGACAGGTTCATCTTTTCCTTCGTGGAATCTTTCCGTGAGGAGCTGTTTCGCGCGTCACACGTACCCTCATCTGTGTCGTGAATACGAAACGTGTCTCTCTCTCTTCGTCCACGTTTACCAGCGATTTTAGGTCTTTGCACTTTATGAAATTCGACGGTGTTCGCGGGAATTACCGGTGTGAACGAACCTTGTAGTTGAGTGGATGCGGATATGGAAAGTCCAAAAATACTAAGGACACTGTGACGGTACCGAGCACAGTCGCGGGACTTTTACTCGGATCGAGACACGCTCGAGAATCTCGATCGTCGACGTGACGTTAAAATAATCCCCTCTACGCTAACTACAGACCGAACTTGTCGAAAATTATACTCGTTTTACTTACCATACAGAGCGAGCAGAAGCCACCTTTTCTCCCGCATGTTGGCGCAACTGTAACAGAAACAGGAACATTTCTAATGAATTTCACAAGAACGTCGACGCAATATCTATCGGTGGTCGTGTAACGCTGGGAAAAATTCGTAGAGAGAAGAGTGGGTTGCTGGCAAAGATATTGAATCGTATCGGGGCATATGAAAGACGTACTTATGTATGTATGGTTGAGACCGGTACAGGCACTTGAGCATATGGGAACGGTTAGGAACTTTCTCTGTGCTGTCACCACTGCTAACCATATAATGCAAGGATAATGTGGGTGTTATATAAATGCACGTTCACGTAATACCGGGTGTGACTTTGTCGACACTGGCATGCACGTCGCTTCTTTTAATTGACTTACTATCTGGTTACCCGGTATATCAGTTGGACGCAACAGTTTCGAAGAAGAAATTTCGTTTAAAGTCACCGTACGGCCTTGTCCGAACGGATCGTTCTGCAGGGAGTGTATTTCACGTGGCGCAAGTCGATGGCAGATATTTTAACCGAGTGTGTACCACGCTACCGATCCAAGCACCAGGCGACCTTCAAGGTTCACAATCTCGGTGCACTCGCACATTTTTCCCTTCTTCTCCCCATTCTTTTCTTCTCTTTTTTCCTCTGTTTTCCGCTTTTTTCTGCCGGTGAAAGTAAATGCGTAATCGAGATGTATTCTAAGTAAAGGTGTTGGCAAAGAAATTTACGCGGATTACAATTTAGAAAGGTGACGGGAGAGTTCACTGTTCACACTGGAGGTGTTCAGTTGAACGAGAAGTATCGGGCGAATTTTCTACGAACGTTTCGGTTTCCGATCGCTCTCGGCATATTTTCGCATTAATTAAGCGCTCTATCGCGCTCCAGTTCGCAGACGGATCGTTATCGTCGGTTGTAAAAGCGGCAGCAGGAAAAATAGGAGGAGGATGTCTTCTCTCTTCGGAGAACGAAAGGGGGAGAATCGCGTTGGTTACACAAGTTTACCGTGTCACAACGAGAATACCATTGTTCTCGGGACGGCGATGGGAACCATTCTCGTTGCTCGCGTTTCATTCGGAAGAAGCAACGATTACGCGATCCGCGTTTAACGTTCTTTTATTTCCTAGTAGTTTGAGCAACGCACCGACAGTTTTGCTCGGGCATGTCCAATGCCTCGGAGAATCGTAGAAACTTCCCGAGACATCCTTCGGCGAATAGTGTAATGGATTACACCGTAATGGTGTGCCTGGTTTTTACGAGCACCGGTGCACCAACACAATTTCTCTCTCTTTCTCCGTGTCGAACAGAGAAGATTCGAACGCCACACTCGTAACGTTACCTTACGGTAAATTACGTTGCGTTACGACACGCGTAACGGTCATCTCGCGCCCGCTAAAGGTCACCGGAAGTGGATGGCTGACACTACCCGTTTGCCCAATCAATCTACCGCGATATTCCAAGTGAACGCTACCCACTGGGAACAATTGTTCGCGTTCAAGTTCGAGCGAAAAAAACAATCCAACGCGATGTGATCACCCTGTTGTTTTTCAGCACGCGTAAAGGCGTGGCAAGAAAAACACGATGGCCTTCGGAAAACCCCTTGCGCAGGTCGCCGCAGCGAGCTTTCATTTCCTCGTGTTCGAATAGCCATCGATTAAATTCACCACGAAGAAGCTGTGCACGCGATAACAACCAGGTGACGAAGAGAAAAACGTTGGTTCGCCTGGTTGCTCGCCGAGTTTCCGCATTTTTCCAAATGTATTTCGCAAGAGTCACGCGCCTAGGCGACTTTTCTGTATCACCGGCTCTACCCAATCGTATAGACAATTAGTCAGAAGCGGAACGTGAGAATCAGCTGTGCTCTCGACCAGGCCAGTTCCGTAACTCGGTGTTCGTTTCGTGTTACGTGTACGGTGGAAACGAAGCTCACGTTCACCGGAAACTCGAATCACCGCGGATCATTGTGCGATGGAAAAACCGCGAGGGACTCGCTGGCAAGCCGGTCGGTTATCAGTGTACTCCGCTCGTCGCGGTCAGGCATTCCGTTTAGAACGCTTTTCGCGGCGAGGCCATTTACTTTCTCGCTGGGAGTAGATTTTCTCGCAGCCGGCTTAGGAGATTTGGATTATCGTTAGGTAACCCTATTGCCTCGGATTTCAGCGTGCAAACTTAAGATGGAAAGTTTAGGAGCGATCTTATTAATTAACGCGGTGAATCAAGTGGAGGGTCAAGGCAGGTTGCAATTAGAAATGTACGTTTCCTCGTTGGATCCGGATTACGCGCGAAAACTAGGCGCTACTTTTATTCGTGTTTCACGTTCGTCCGTCTTCCAAGCTAGAAAGTGTCTGGTCGAGACGAGGCACCGTCGTAATGTACATTCCATATGGACGCGTGCATGCTCTCCTACGTCGCGGTGGATCGAGACGGGCTGTGGTCAGACCTCGCGGGGTTATCAGGTGTGTACCTTTCGACTTTTGCTAATTAAAACTCTCGGGTTAGGTGTCGTTGGTTGGAACGATATCTGGACGCAGAGGTAGACCACTGACGAGGGTTTTCTTCTGCATCGTTAATCATCGACGTCGTCTACGAGAGGGATCGCTACTTTGTATGTAGAAAGTGTTGGATTGTGCAGGCAAACGTGCACGCCGCTGGCGTCGATACTCGGGGGGAATATGGAACACACCGACTATATCGATTCGATTCAGTTGCACTGTCGTAACCAGCCTGGAAATTAGGGTAACAGGGATTTATTGTCATGCAAATCTCCTTTCGTCAGTTTCCCCGAAGGAAACAGGCCTTGAAAGCTTGGGAATAAGCGTTGGCAATCTCTAACGTCGGAGACGTGAAAAATCGAGCAACGTTGTTGCAAAAGGTGCGCGCGCGTTTAACGCTGGCTGGCTTTTCGTGTCAAGGTGCCAGAATCATCCGGATTTTGTCGCGTGTAGAACTGACAAAAGCTGACACGCGAGAACCTCCGCTAATCCTTTGCGCCGGGAAACAACGACCGTTGTTGCTACCGATTTCACTTATTAGAATTTCGAAATCCTCCGGTTCTTCGACGTTAATTCGCCATGACTTCCTCCTGCAGCGATAATTATATCCCGATCCTTTAAGACACCTTTAATACCGAACGAACGTTTCTTACACGTCTAAATACACTGGAAGGAGGATCGAGGCGGGCATAATCGATCTCGTGCTCGGTAAAAGTGGCTCGCGTTACACAATCGCTTCTAACCGTTCGTTCATCGATGATAATCGTTCTCGAAGTGACACCTAAACGTAGTCGCGTATCTCTCTCTCTCGAAATTCGTCAGTTTTCCACCGAAAGTTCGTTCAACCAGGAATAAGATCCCGACAAAAAGTTCCCGACTCTTTTTAATCGATATACCCGAATTTTTTTCTCCGGAACGTCGATCTCGAGAGCGTGAGAGGCGGCGAGAGAGCGTTTTGCTGCTGTCGCCGCGGAGAGCAGAGAACCGGCTTTGGAATAAATGATTTCACTCTCCGCAGCGAATAAAATTTATTCGACCGTAAAGTGCCGCTTCGCGACGTTTTATCGACACATTGTGTAAGTTCGCCGCGACAAATAAACCGGCGTTATGACCACGGTGTTGCACGCTTCTTTTCTACTCCCGGTTCGTCGTTCACTTGGACGGTCAAGGAGGCTAAGAGGGAGGTGCTCTCGTGAAATTAACGATAGAAAGAATCGAATTTCCTTTCCGTGGAAAATTTTGTAACTGCCCTCCGCGTAATTCCCAAACCGCAGGGAGGTGATTACGTAGGAAGAAACTCGTGCCGGAATCGGAAATTAAACGGATCTGCTGCTCCTCTTCTACTTGCACCGAGGAACACCTTCCTTCGGAGAGAAAGAGGCTTCTACGTATAATTAGCGCAATTAGCGTGTCGTGTAGCTGCTACGCCTCTTTTCTCTGCCGCGGGTACAATCGTTGGCAGAAAGAAAGAGAGAGAGAGAGAGAGAGGATAACGAGGCCTGTTGCATCCTGCGATGGAGATATTTTACAGTTGCTTCCTACCGTTTCGTAAATTATACCCGCGTCTATAAATTACACCGCCGCGTGGAGTATCGTCGAAACGAAGAGCTCTTGGACCATTCGTGACGATTATACAAGCAAGTCACTGCATACCCGAGGTGTCTTTGTCCGGAGAAACGAGAATTTCAGATCGTCCACGATTTCTCGCGATGCATTTTCCAACTGCCTTTGTTCGTGACTTGGCTACGAGTGTCGTAAGGCAGATGTTTGCATTACGTTTTAGGCATCTTTATTCGGAATTCGATGATTATCGAAAGTAGGCATCGCGCAATATTGACGCGTGACACACTTTGTCTCCTTTCGAAAGCGACACGATGGTCAAATTTCGCTCTATCCTTAGGCGACGAATAGGCGTCGCGAACAACTCATCTCTAACCCTGATAAACTCGTTAATTCCCTCTTGGCCAACATCTCGGGCAAGGTACACGTAGCTTCGTTCATTCCTTTTTCGTCTTCTTTTTCGGACCTCAAGCGGAAAGCTACGTCCACCTGTTCTTCTTTTTTATCTTAGGAACAAGATGGATGTTTTCGAGAGTCTCGAAGTAGTTCCAAGAATCATTTGCATCCTCGGGCAAACAGGTAACATCCCGGGAGAGGACCATTGTTCTCGAGCTAAAGGGAATTTCGAAACGCTATTCTCCGCGGAATCGCGTGACAGCAGAGTGAACGAAGAAAATTCTTAAACACAGCGATGGTCCGTTAGACGAAAATTCTACTCCTTGCAGAAGGAGGATCAAGATCTCTGGAGTAACATGTTCGGACCACTGTTAACCTTTCGAAAACGTGGATGCAACGACAAAGCAGATGACAAAGCAGATGAATCCCTCGTCCTCGCAAGTGCGAGCCTAGCGATGGAGAAAAAAATTGGCCCGATCGCGAGCGTCCATTAAGCCTATTCCGGCCGTTCGATTACGACGAAATGGCTCGTTTATTTTTCCGACAGCGTATAGCGGGAGAAAGCAGACCGCGCCGCGCCGCGGCTCGACGACGCGCGTTCTCGTGTCGTAACGCGGCTGGTTCGCTTGGCATGCTCGCGCTACGATATTGTTTATTGAAAAAGATCTGCTGAAATATCGGTCGACGTGTCAAACGGCTGTTCGCGAAAGCGTCGAGGTTCTGTAAAATTACGCAACGATCGGCACACACCAACCGCTGTCGTGTGCTCGTTTTACGCGCGATTTATGCTCCCTCGATACTAAGCCTGTAATTATCGAAACGAGCAGCCTATTTCTGATTTTTAGAGGGAAGCGGATGTTCGTCTTCGAGGCTACTTTCCTTCGCGTGAGATCTCCAGGCTTTCACGTCACTCGATTGTCCATTCTTTCGTAGGTTGGAGTTATGGGTTGAAGCGGTAGAGTTGCGTCAGGATTGGTGAGGAGATTCGAAGGGTGGTCCCGCGAGTAATTAGGCCGAGACTAGGCGTGTCGCCTGTCGAACTGGCTCCTCGCGAATTAAATCCACTTTCGATCGTGTGTGTCTGGTTTGCTCGCGTACAATCGGCCACGGAATCCGTCGATCGAAAGTGAACGTGGACGCGTTAGAATGCAATAAGGAGGAAGGAGAGAACGAAAGGGAGAGACACGCGTATAGGGAGTAGAGGGAGAGTGGTTGGTCGAGGCGCACTGTCGAGGTTACGGAAAACCACGAGATCAATCGACCAAACTGTTCGCCACGTTCACGTATATATAAATATACACATAGAGAAATTAACTTGGTTAATTTCCACGGATCGATGATAAAGAATCGAAGCTAGAATTAGCCGGCGCGTAACGTGACTAACGGTACGAATTACGCTCACTTCTTTATCGATGTTGCAAGCGGCCGTAACTCTGTTCGCGATACGTTACGATACCAAGTTTCCATCGGTAGCGTGAATGAAATTTATTTTATCGAGAATAAAATTGAGTCATACTCTCGAAGAATGCTCTTTCCAGAGAACGTATTTTTCCCGAGGTAGGCAGGTAGTACCGCGGGTCAATGGAAAAATTGCATTAGCGTGCGTGTGCTAACACGTGCAGCTAGCGTGCGTTTCCTAAAACGAAACTCTCGGCTCGTTAACGTCGATCTCGTGGCGAGCGCAGAATAGAAAATCGTTAACCTGGGCTTCGCGCTGGAAACGCATGAAAATACGATTAAGCCCGTGGCGTAAGGCGGGCGTAGATACGACCGATATACCTACCGTTTTTTTCCTTTCACCGTATTATAAAGAATATCGAGGTGAGCGTAGGAGTCCGCGAAGGCAAGAGAAAGAGAAGAGAAGCGAAAAAAAGAAAAAGGGTAATGGAAAGTCGGGCGCGGACGTAAATTCGAAGATAGAACCAGTTCGCTTTCGTTGTCATCGGGAGATGTAAAAACACAGCTCGAAAGGAGGAGAGGATGCGGTGTCCAGCGAAAGTCCTGCCGTCTTTTATCTTCCTTCGGAGACTCTCGCGGCTTTGCACGATCGTCCTTTCACGATTTCATGCGTATTATTTGTCCCGCGATCGCCTCGATCGTTACCTACGCGATGTAAGAGCGTTTACTTGTCGTTATTCGGGGATAATTGATTCTTGGCGCGTTTCTTCTAATCAAAATGCCGTTTTCTCTTCTTACGAAAAATTTCGCGCCTCTGAATACCAGAGCGTGTTGCGTTACGCCTCCGATCTTTTCTTTTTTCGACTATATCGGGCGGAGTGAGTTGTTCCGAGCGGTTTCACTGGCCGCGAGACGGCCCCGAACGCTCACGTGGAGGGAATTGTCGCAAGAAAACGCCGACATTCTGGCCGCGGGCACGACTTCTCTCTCGTCTCACCGAACGAAAACACTGTGATTACCACCGATTAAGTAATCCGAATTTCTATTCGTTTATACCCTGCCAGGCTGTTCAGATTGTACAGGTATAAACGACCGAAGAGTTGCCAGTACTTTCGCCACGTTAATCTCGTAAATCCAACAACGAGTGTACAAACAGTGATTTCCTTTACTCTGGAAATCTTTCTTGGAAAATAATCGAAGGAAATTTCGTTTAAAAAGAAGAAGTGCCACAGACCTGTCTCTCGGCTCCGTCGTTTCTTCCTTAGTCCCTCATGAAAACACCGTCCTCACATCGAGGCTCACTTGGACTGATATACTTGTCACACCTGTACACCGCGAGAACGATCTCGAAGGAAACCACTGTGCGCAACTGGAAACCCGGCCGTGACTTGGACGGGGTTGGTTCGATCCACGAATTTTCAAGATTCGAGGAATCCACAGGGGAGAATCGTCGCGGTTTTGTGACGTTCAGGCGAAGACCGCGTCCGGTCCGGCCAGAAGACTGCGCGTTGGAAGTGGAAAAGCCAGCAGCAGGAGCGTTGTGCTCTGACCAGCGTCGTCTGGTGGAGCTTTCTACGACCGAGGATAAGGTCGGGGAGGGGGTTTCGACGAGCATAGGCGTCTTTCTTCGCTTCTCATTGGCGTAGCTCTGTCAAAAGACCTGGATAGAAGGTTTCCTCGATTCAGAACTCCGAGGAACAACTTTACCAATAATATTCCACACGGTTCTTACCGTAACCAAAATTACAGCCTCGTTACCTGCTCTATCCAACTCGTACGATCGGCGTGGGTAAAAGAGCACCTGCGTCGCCACCTGATAGCAAAACTTGAACGCAACCGATACACTGCGAAACCTTTCAAACTTGACTCTTGTGCGACGAGTTATTTAGAAGGCCGTGCATTTCTATAGACATTGTGTCTTACTTTTACCGGGAATTGTTACCGTGTCGCCGTCTCGATTGGATTTCGAGGCAGCGTAGACAAAGGGTGGACGTATCTCGAGCGAAGTTTGAAAGGTCTCGTGCCGCCTTCAGGGGATTCCAACTGGTGCATCCCCGTGGTCTTTTCAGGGATCACCGAGCCCATCTGAGACGTTTCTATATTTTCTTCTCCTTTTGTTTTTTCTTTTTTGAAAGATCCAAGTGAAAGTGGAACACGTCTACGTCGACGAAGCAAAAAGCGAGGAGCTAGCTATAGCTGATCGCGCCTCGAGGATCCTATTAATCGATAAGGATCACGAGTATGGCGGATAGCTGTTTGGAAAGAGGAAGTTTAGCTTGCACGACGATCCTTTCGTAATCGAGCAGGCGTCAGACGTGAAAAACCGATCGACTTTTCAATAAATTAGCTTCAGGGTCGCGAGTTGGGAGCGGATAGAGCCGTAGCAATCGAAGAAAGTATTCTAACCTGCTTCGATAGGATAAACTGGTCCCTTCTAACTTTAAGGGAATACCGGTGGAATCGACGCGAGTACGTGCCCGCCATTTTTGGATCAAATGGAAGAAGAAGTGTTGGATAAAACGCCTGTTCGAAAAAGTCACTATGCCGTTGGAATTTCTTTCTTATACGATCGGGTGAAACACGTATTTATCGTTGGACGGTATAAATTGGAGTGCACCTACGTGTAACAGCTTCTTCAAAGTTCACTGCTTTCTCTAAGGACGACAGGTCCTTTTTTTCCTCGAGGGTCGACGAGTCCCTGTATCCAGTTTTCACGATTTTTCTCCGCGAAAGAAGGTCGTGTATCGACGAAGAGGGGTAAATAGCTCGCATAAATCTCGACGATTCTTCTTGAGAGTTGTTCCGAGGATTGTGACGGTTGTCGAATGAATTGCACGACACGCCTCTTGATCTTTCGAAGGGGATCGTCGAGAATTTCAGGACAAGGCGTCAGTTACGCCCGTGGTATTTACGCTCGAGATCCGCTCCGAGGAGGAGCGTCTTCTTCGTACATTATTCCTGCGAACGACGCCTAAGGGGAGTAATTACGTGGAACCACGAACGGCGACGATGCCATCGACGCCGTTGGATCCGCGCCGTCGAACGTAATCGGAATAACGACTTCTCGCCCGATGACTTTGGCCTTGCCGCTCTAAAAAATGCGCCAGTCAGCCGGAAGTTTGAGTTTCGTAAGTGGGCGTGCCGAATTTCTACCAGTTCACGTAACCAGCCCTGGTGTCCATTGAAATTCCTCGAACGTATGCTAATTACACCTGGTTTGGATCGATAGAAAAATTTGAATAGAAGTGTTGGCGGGGTGTAGACGATGGTATCGCGGCGGTGGGATGGATTTCGTTCGTGATCGATGCAGGAGAGAAGGAGAAGAAAAAAAGAGATTGCGCGACGAGACGTGCATGCAAAACGCAGACGGAAAAAGTCGAAGCCGAGGTTTGACGTGGAATCGGTAGGGAACGAACTGGCCACTCGCGACGACCATTCACTTTCTATTGTCCAATCATGCCAAGAAATTGTTCCATGTGATTTCGACTTTTGCCAGCGGTGGTCTCTTTCTCGCCGTGTTTTTACCGGGATAAGAAGAGAAAAGGAGTCACGATTACCGATCAGATTAAACCGCGACCCGCGCAAGGCACACCTTTTCGATACACAGGAGGAAATTAATGCATCTGTTGTTCTTTATTCAGGAATTTTCCATAAGGCGATTAACAGCTATTCGGATTGTTATTTTTTTTTTAGTTAGGACATTTCATTTAGTTAGGACTCTGTGCGGTTGAAATTTACAATGGTTTCTCTATGGAATTGATCGGCACGTGTGACGGAGTTGTTGTCTACAAGTTCGAACAGCTTTTGTACGTCAGTCGATCGTCGTCGTTCGCGTAATTTAACGTCTGAGAATATTACAGCGCTCTGTTTCGCGCCGTTTCTCCGCCGGCAAGCTAGGAACTCACAACTCGTTGGACGAAATCTCGTTTCTATTTAAGTTAACACTCGTTCTCGTCTCGAACAGGCTGTACAGGAATATTCTTGTTTGGTCGACACGCGTTTGTTTGTTCAGGGAATTACGGCCAGCGTTAGATCTTGTTCCCGTTCACGTCTCTGTACAGGTCGTCGTTGATACCGTACAGTCTGGGCGAGTCGTTGCAATCGACCTACGATAAAGAGAGAATTTATCAAAAAATCCACTTGAAAAAAATAAGAAAAAGGTACGGTACCTTGAACCACCAATCACAGACGCGAGCCGACTGGCTGAAAACTGTGCCGTTTGGACAGAGGAAGCTGAATTGTCGTCCATTTGGCAAACACCAATGCCAAACCTAAAGAAAAATGATGGAAAATCACGCTCGTCCATTTTGTATCGCGCGGTAAAATTTCGTTAAGCACACTCGCCTGACATCTGGCTTCAGGATCGGCGTAGTAACCAGGTAGTTTGCCTCCGCAGGTAAACGTGAGGCCGAAAGGTACCGTGTCGTATATTGGATAATCGACGCCAGGTGTGTAGCCGTCTACTTGCTGAAAGAACGGTGCACAGATCGGTGAGTAATGTGTTTCGAACGGTAACACCTTAATTAGCGCTAATTATTCGGTACAAATTGGTCGTATCTCGTAACAGAATGACGAAAACCTTTTATAAATTCCGAAAGTGTTATTCCTATCTATATATGTACATGGCCGGCAGGTATTTCAATTCAAATAAGTTGTGTGAATTACATCTCGGTTTCTCTTTAAGAAACAAAGGCAATTAGCCTGAAAGGCGCAACTACGAACAAGCGTTATTTGCATTGCAATAGTTGGGGTTACCACTCTGTGGAAACCACACCGACACCTTTCGTCATGTATCATCGTTCACAATGGAATGTGGACCGAGCGAGGATGCACGCTATAAGTTGCACTTCCTCCCTTTATTGTCATGCACGACGCGTCAGATTCGCTCGTTAACTTGTTAATCGAAAAAAGAAAAAATGTCGTCGTCTCCGACGAGAAACGAGAAGAAAAAAGTCTCTCCGAGGGAGAGATAAGAGAAAAAATCTGGCACTTGTTGCAACGGTGAGTTAATGATCCATAAGCAGCTTGAAGAAGAAGCTCTAATCTGTGGAAGATTGATCTCTCGAGGAGATCTTTTTTCGCAATTGGCTATCGGTCGAAATGAGAAGAAGGAAAAAAATGAGGCCGTTGCGACATACGAAACGTCGGATCGAGCCAGTCCAGTGCATGTACGTGCCGATGTCTGACCGGAAGTCGGGTTACATTGTTCCCCGCAAGCGGATGCGCATCTCCGTGCCTTTGTATTCGATCTCCCGTCCACTAGAACGCGCGCAACCGCAGAACGCTGCCTCCACCCTTTTGCCGGGACGGGTGATTTCAACGCCTGGAAAGGAGGCACGGCTACGATCCACGGCGCAGTTGCCGCCGGAGAAGTTAGGGTGGGTCAGGGTTTTTACTCGAGGCTCGTCGAACCCTTCTCCACGATCAGTCGGATGAATTTGAACCTTCTTCTCTTCCCAGGAAGGTATTTCAATCTTCCTTGGAAATAAATCGGTCGAACATCGAAGAATGTTGCGGTACGCGATAACGATTCCGAGGGTTTCGTTGAAGTATTAAGAAAGAATTTCTGAAGGCGCGTACCGTGAATGTTAGCCGTTAGATAACGATCGACGGATTAATTAATCGTTTAGAACTTTCTGTAGGATGGTTAAGGCGGCATTGAAAATTCGGTTCCCTTCCGTCCCGTCCTTCCGTTTCGATCCGCGTTCACGGTCATCGTTTCCGGTGAAAATGAATACGCTTAGCGGCTCGGTGGTCGCACGATCACCCGTCGATAAACTTGGGAAATAAAAGTTTTTAATCGATGCCTACGATGGTTAGGTTTCGTAATGCAGAAATTGTGTGCGAGCCTGTGTAACTTTCGAGGACCATTTTTTTCCCCTCTGCTGTTACGTATGCTCGTTTATCCGAAGGTGTAACAATCGCAGAGGAAAGACGAAGGAAGTTTTTCCTGAACGACTTTGTCTAACGGAGCGCGCACAAGGCGAGAAAGCACGCTCGCGCAAGACGTGTTAATTAATGAATTACTTGATGCCGCCACCTGAAGAAGATGACGCGAGAAGATACCATCCTCCCTCTGTCATTGTTGCACGTGAGAAAGTGCCACGAATATAATAATTCTCGCACTTTGATTCAACAGTGGTTTCGTAAAGGTATTGTGCTCGTGACGCGATATCCCCGCCCCTTTCTCTCTACTCTAACTCAATTGCGCAACAGCTCGAATTTTCAATCGAACCGGATGCAGACACTTACCGCCATTGCTCTGTACAGTAGAACCGCGCCGAACAGCAGGATCGCGCAGAATATTTGATACCGCGAAATCATCTAAAAAAAAATTAAAAAATCAGTTAAAACAATCCACCGTCGAATTTCACGTGTAAACTCTTTCTATCGATCTCTCGTGTCCTACTTGAAGATTTCTTTCGAAGCTTATCTTTTTCGGGGGGAAAGAAAATGACGATGGTCGATGGCTCACCTTTTCACGAGAGATCCAATCACCTTAATCCACACTATCCTTCCACGTGCTGTTCATTTATCATAGGATGATATTTCGATGTTGGATCTTGGCACAATGCACTCACCGGTCCCGCGATCCACTGGACCTCCGCCTACAAGTTCGGTCTCCACGGTGTTACGGGCAAAGTTTCTTTCTCGAAGGATGCTACCACGAAGTGGTGGTATATATATGGCTTTAGAGATCGAGTAGAAACACGAGGGGGGGTTCTTGAGAGCCCCTCTTTCCCGGGGCTCCCACACCGGACGAACGGAGAAAGAGAAGATCCCAGGGAGGTAGGGGAGGGATCCACTTCTGCGATGCCGCAGATTCTTCTCTTACGCAATCCTTCTCGTGTTCTTACACCCGTGAAAACAGTCGTAACGATCGTACTTGAACCAGGGTTGCGACTTTTTTTCGTACGCTCTTCGCGTCGTCCCGAGATACGATCGTGAAAAGGGGTGAGATGGAACTAGGAGTACAAAGATACCGTCTCGTCGTTTTACTTTGATTGGAGATGTCAGAGAAGAGCGACCCAGTGATCTCGTTATTTTTTGTTTTTTTTTGTTTTTTTTCACCATGAATATTAAGCGGACGTTTACGCAACGTCTATGCTTCAGCAACCGTGAAAACGATCGCGTTACAAGGACCAAGGGGGAGAATCCTCTCGATTTCTTCGAACTTTGCGCGTATTTAAAAGCAACATCCTGTGTACCTCGAAGAAGTTTTTCGTTCACTTTACCAGATACCTTTCGCAAATTGAACGCGATACAATCGATTAATTACACTACGTGCGTTCTCCACGGGGAAGATTATTTCGCCGATTCCATCGATCAGATAGCGGAATGCTTTTTTCTTTTCTTTTTCTCGTTTCGTGGGATACTTTGGTAGAACGGAAAATCCTCATCACGCGTGTATCTCTGCCGAAATGATCGTGCAACGCGTATCCCAAGGCTCTCGCTGAAATGAACATTTGCGGTCATCGGGAAGATCGACCGTCTCGATTAATCCCGAGTTTCATCGTCATCCCCCAACAAGGCCAGCCGCAGAAATTCGGCTCGTCATTTTTTCCTTACGAAATTCCGCCAGTTCTTACGTGATACACAGGAAACGAGGATTTTCTTGCGAAACCAATAATTACAGGATAGTTACGGTCGTCAAGTTCGCGAAGGTATCGGTAGGTAGGTGAAAAATGTCGCTCGAGGAAACAGGAAGCACCAAAGTAGTTTCCCTTCCTTCCGATCGAGGTGGAATCGGCGTAGGCGAAGAGGCGGAAACAGAGGAAGGAATCTCTCGACACGATCAAGTTGTTCATTTGCATGCCGCCTTATTCTCAGCAGCCCCTTAATTTTCGAGGCGCGTTCGCTGCTAATTACAGCCGGCTAATTGCTGACCGCGAACTTTTCGAGATTGACATGCAAATTCCGTAGAATTAGTTTGTTGATTTTATCACGAATTGGATAACAAACTTCTGCGTCGTTCGTCGAATTATTCCCGCGTGGTACACCACCCGGTACAGCGAATAATAGAATTACGTCGAAAGGTAGGTGTCGTTCTGAATTCAATTATCGTTGATTACATATCGAGACGATTATAAAATCCACTCGTGGGAAGGTCTGCGTGGTTCTTTCGCGATTCGGAGCATATGGAAGAAAACTAGTGTCTCCTTGTTAAGAAACCTGCGATTAGAAATATTACAGCCTTAGAAAGCCTCCCTTTTCACGGTGACTGTCTAATTCGCGGTTCAATTGAACTTTCGAGTGTCGTATCGTAACGTTACCGCTGTAAAATTGCGTCTGTTATTACGCGTTGTTGCGCATAGAATGGATCTTCTCGTTCGTCGTTGCGTCTGCACGCGTGGTTTTCTTTTTCTCGGAGGAAGGCAATCAAAAGGAGACCATTTGTTTTAATGGACACTTTCGTCAGACGGTTAACTTTATATCCCGAATCTTCACACGCTCGGCAATCTTCAGCTGGTAGAAGCTTTCGTAATTTCATAACCGAGTTGACTTCCGAGCATCTTTCCTGTCCCTCGCACAAAACCGACATGAAAGTCTTTCTCACGTTTCTGCCACTGTTTCTCGATTAAGCATTTCGTTATCCGTTACGGTATTGTAGATTTAGCAATTGGATCGAGCGTCCACGTCGATTATCCCGTATGCAACGAAGCGACAAACTTGCTATCTGAACGAGGATCACGTCGATTTCCGACAGTTTCCCCAATCTATCGGTGTAAATGCTTATCGAATTACTCGCACGTCCGTCGATTGTCCAATTTCTTTCCCCGATATCTCGATTTTTATCCGCTTCTCTCGTACCTGTGCACGTGCACACGATCGAAGCTTCGCTATCTTCTTTACGTAACCAGCTCTGGCAGCATCGCGTGGATTTTATTGCATCCAAAGGTTACGTAAGCAATATAACATCAATTATAACTCGTATCCTAGGAAGTGCTGTTTAATTCACCGCACAAGCTGGCAACGTAACGAATCGAACGCTTCTTAATTCTCTGCGCGCGTATAATTCTCGAAAAATTCACGACTAACTTTCACGATTCGCCATACTCGTATCTACGATATCGTTAACACGTTCCTTTATCTTTTATGAATCATTCCGCTCGTGCTGACCGACGCTCTCTGTTCCCGATACTGTCCCACATTCGGTCGCGCGACACCTGTCCACCTGCAAATTAACGAGTGCTCTCGTTGAGTAACCTCGTTGTGCAACAGAGAGAATTACAAAGGCAAGTATTTCCATTGGGAAATCTATCTCTCTCCGAAAATGTGGACGAATTTTTCCGTAGAGAAATTTCGTCTTTTTCAACCGTATTATTCCTCTCGGTGCACGCGAAACGTGTCGTACACAGTGGGAATTATCACCCTGATTCAGATTTATCAAGGGGGGAGCTGTGTGTGTGCGATAATGGAAGAAGGCTGGGATGCACGCGTGCGTGGTGGCGTCGCGCTCATGGTGGCGCGTTTTATCAGTGGACGCGCAGTCGAAGCGAGCTCGCGGTGTCCCAGATTTTCAGTCACACGCGACAGTGCATAGGACGCAGCCGGCTGTCGATCGTTGCCGGATCTGTTAGATCAGTTCATCCTCAGAACGGTTTCGCGGTTGAACGAGCGCGGATCGATTGAACCGGTAGCCACGTCGATGGCCACGTTTCCGTATAGTTGAAACAGATACTCTACCGCAGCCTCGTGAGTATCGAGATCGCTCGAAATCGCAGCTGTGCCCGATAGAATCGAAAGTTTCGCGAACGTGTGCCTGGTTAGTGATGCCAATGGACGAACGTGAGACACTTGTCGAGGTAAAAAGATTCGTTCTCTCGATCTTCGATACGTACAGATCGCGTCTCACGTTTGTTAAACGCGTCTTCACCATTTTATCGGGGGATAACAAAGCTTACTCGTTATCGGTGTTTGTCGACGACAAGCAGTTGCGATATTACGGAATACTTGTGTTCGATAAAGAAATTGCGTACCGATTTTTGCTTCACCGAACGATAGATATTTATTTTTTCACGCTAGCAAGTGTCGAACTGATTATCTTCGATTCGTGGACACTTCTCCTTCCGCGTTTTTCACCGTGGAAAGAAACAGAGTATCGTTGGAATCGTGAGAAAATAATGGGAGGGAACGTGTGGATGAATTCATCTGTATCGGGAAATCTACTCTCTGATTAACGCGTGTACCAATTAATTTGAAAGCTGTACGGCTCGTTAATTTGTAATTAAAGCGAAGGAACGTTGTCGCGATTAACGAGAGTAAACAGAAGCCGCGGATACGGTTTAGATTCCAACGAGGCGAGACGCACGCCGTTGCAGTTGGTTCGTGACATGAGTGTAATAGCTTCCGGTCAGACACCCGTCTATCGACGCTTCCGGTATCGCTGTTACCCTCCCGTGAGCTCGAAACGAAAAGGGAATTCCCTCTCGCTCTATCTTCCTCGATTCAAATGGTCTGCTGTTCTGCATCGTCCTGCATATTTCGATATTCGCTTGGCCGAGCGAATCACCAAGTTCGATATCCTTAGGTGTAACGGAAATCGCGGGAAACCGTAATAACGATCAGTGTCTGGCTGTAGCTCCATTTCATCCTCGAATGATACCGTTACCACGCTAATGCCACGTCCTTTTCTTCTCTTTGCATAGAGACGCCTCTGGATTATTTGATAAATCTCACGCTGCCTCTCGAGTAGCTTCCCGATGGAACACCCGGTACGTGGACACGCGTGTTAACAGCTCTAGTATTGTACGCGGGTGTAATTGGACGACAGGTGTACAGACGCCGGGAGAGTATACAAGGTGCTCGGAAATAAACTAATAAATTCGTCTTTTACCGTCCGACAAGTTAAGCCTCGACTAAATCGTTCCTTAATTCGTTCCACGTGCCCCTGTATTTTTTCGTTTTCTGCTCGATTAATGCAAAGCTCGTTATCGAATTTCACGCAAGGAAGAGAGAGAGGGGGAGAGAGATTATACGAACGGAGTAAAATTTCACGAATGTCTTTTCGCCTCGGTCGGCTCGTTTCGACCTTCGTTCTTGAATTTCTGCGCTCCCGTAGCCGTGAAGCGCGGAAACCAGCGCGCCTTTTCGAAACGGTAACTGCACATGCGGATTCACCGGCACTAGGCGGCTCGAACAACAGAATGCTCACACCTGACCAACGGACGGAATACATTAATGAATCCCTTTTCACCTGACTATCGGTCACCTGACTCACTTCCTGCCCGCTTCAAAAGCCAAGCCCCCCGGTTGCACGTTCAGAATTGCGTTCGATCTTATCCCGGCCTTTTTTCTTTTTTCATCTACTCTGCCGCATCCGTTTCGATCGATTAAATCTGTGACCGCGTATAGAAACACGCGGCTTTTGTACGAAATGCGGCAGGTGAAACGGTTCGTTTCTTTTTTTGTCTTTTCTGTTTGTTTGTCGTCGTGCCGGTGTTTTCGTTTTCGGCCGGCGAACGGTTTTGCTAAACTTTCGGCGAGTGGTGTTATTCGCGAACGAAACGGCAAAGAGGTGGGCCAGACGGAAAGAGAGCGAAGGAAACGATCGAGCGGAGCGCAAGGTGCAACACGTGCTGCGCGACAGCTGTTTTCCGGTTTAAGTCGAGACGTTAAGCCCGTTTTTAATTTCGCGGCTGAACGCGTTTTCGGATCTAACGACGATTATAATAACGTTAACGTTACCCGCTGCCTTCGAACAACAAATTTCCTTCGTTCCCTTCGTTCTCTCGTTCCATCTTGTACAATACGATCGGGTGTTTCATTTTGTTTAATTATCCGCGTTAATTATCTGTTGCGCGATTCAAGGGACACGGAGGAGGAGAATTCTGAGAGCGAAGGGAGGACTCGATGATCGCTATGGAAGACGAGGACTTTGGTTTCACGAAAAGAGAGGAAGGTGTCTTGAAAAAAGCTAGCGGTACCTTCACTAACGAGAATGCTTCTTTAGAAAAGGAGGTCCTGTCGGTAAAAAGTGGGGAAAAGTGGTGTGGTTAGAGGAGAAAGGATGATTTTTTGAAATTTGTCAGGCGGGAGAGACGGTTGGCGGGTGTAGTTCGGTGACGAGAGCGCTGTTATCCGGGGCGACGGAGGCCGGAAACGCCGTCCCTGAGCGTGCAGCGACCGCCTCTTCGTCCTCTCCGGCTTCCTCAGTCGTTTCCAACCCGCCGAACATACCGAACGTGGTCGAGTATCATCTGAAAGTGAAGCCCGGGCAAACGCAGGAAATCTCTCGTCTCGATAACAGTACCGTGAGTAACTTATCCGTACTCGGATCATCCTTCGGTCCCTTCAATTCTTCCTCCAGTGACAATTAGAATCGTTTCAACGGGCATACATACGCACGCACGTAAAACCAAGGCTGCGTTTCCTTCGTTTCACAACGTCTAGTTAATCAATAGAAAGGTGTGGAGAAAACGTGTCGTTTCGCGTATATTTACTCACCGTCGTACGCTTTTCTCGCAGAGAAGTCAACCGGCAAGGGACATGAAGAAAGAAAAGAGCCCCGCACCGTCCGGCGACAAAAAGAAGGACTTCGTGTCAAAGTTATCTCGTCTATCTACCGACAATAACGTCTTCGAGGGTTCCACCGATCTTCCTCAGGTCTTCCAGGTATACTTTTTCAATATTTACCTTGTACACATATACCTGTCCCCTCTAACCGACACGTCTGAAACCTGCTGCAACGATTACCAATAATAACACCTCGCAGCTTCTCAATTTTTCACCCGAAACAACCCGCAACATTATTACCTTCCTAATATAATTTTAATCGCCGCCAAGTCCCCTATTACTTCTCCATCACCTTACCTTAGGAATCCAAGGTCTCCCGTATAGGTTTAATTACTACCTGAGTGGGGCGACGCGTGGGAGAACTAAAGGGGACCCTTTTCAGGTGAAATATCTGGGCTCTCATGATGCCAGGGGCCTCTGGGGCATCAAGCATACGAGGAGGCCCGTCGATAATATGGTGGCTGCTGCGAAGGCCTTACCGACCAACACCATGCTCCCACTGATGAAACTCGTCGTCTCCCAAGAAGGCGTGACCCTGTTGCCTTTGGAAAAAAGGAAGCAAGACCCTAGCCTCACCAGGATGTACGCTATCGAGACGATCTCGTACGGTGTTCAGGACCTCGTCTACACCAGAGTCTTCTCCATGATCGTCGTTAGAGAAACGGAGAACTTCAGAAGAGTATCGCCGTTCGAGTGTCACAGTTTCGTCTGCGAGTCGAAGCACCACGCGAAGCAATTAACTTACGCTTTGGCCACAGCCTTCGAGATTTACTCGAGGACCGTGAAGGCGCAGGATAAGATGGCTGAAATGGCGGGCAAGACTGCCAAGAAGAGGTTCGCCATAGACCTGAGAAGCCCCGAGGAGATCGAGGCTGATTTAGCTGTAGATTCCGAGGCTTGAGTTAGGTTTCGCTTACTTTAACACCGTTGTTGCAAGGAAGATTAACGAGGAAAAGTGGTACGCAGGAGGATGATTGGTATGCAAGGACGCCTGCCTCAGTGGACAACACAGGGTATTCATTGTCGAAGATGTTTAATATATGTAGATTGCACTTTATGGCCGTAGACGTAAGTTCGTTTAAGAGGAAAGTTAATCTGTTGCGGAATAAATTTCGTCGGCGGCAGGTATGTCGAAGGATGTGAAACGAAGACGCGCTCTTTGATGGAATCGTTACGATGATAAATGTTATATTTTTTTATTGTTGTTACGCGACCTTTGTTTTAATTGTATTCTGTATTACCTAGCCTTCTGGCCGGTGGCTGTTTAGAGAGATTTGTACGTTGATCCTTCGATTCTTCTTTCGGCTGAGATGTACTTAAGTCAGAGACGTACGCTTTAGGATCCTTATTTTCTGTCGTTGGCGCGAAAGTTGATGTAATTGTTGATTGTTAATTATTTTATCGGCATTTTACGACCGACGGAGTAGGCGCCGCCTATTTTCCACGATACAATGGCTAGTTATCCAAAGATATCGAATAGAAAAGAAGACGAAGATCGCCGAGGGATCTCCGCGGTGATTTTTGCAATTTCATATATATCACCTGAGTTTAAAAGAAAACGAAAAAAAAAAGAACGTATTGATTGGATTTACCTTCTAGCCGCTTTGACTGTGTGCGTGTGTGTCTTTTTTTTAGCTTCATCTTATCGCATGTTTTCCTTAGTGTACAGTAGAGGTTTTCTTTCCTTGTTATTTTATTTATCCGTGACTTATAGTTAAGTCGCAGAACCAATATCGACACATATCAATCGTTGTAAATAGAGGGACTATCAAAAGCGTTATCGACAACGCCACCTTAACACTAGAATAATTACACCGATACTGTTTTATTTAGCCGTTAAGTTACCCTTTTCGCTTTTTCGTTAAACATCATATACTCGTCGCTGCACCTTTTCGTTCTTTCTTCTTCGTTCTAGGCATGGGACATTTGTGTAACTCTTCCTTCTTGTTTTCGCGCGTGATTGCTTGATTATAAATATCTGAATAGCAGTATTAACTACTTGTATCGATATTACGTACAATAAATATTTTTCAGACTCTTCGATCCGTTTATTTTTTAATAAGTTACAACGCGTACATTTCACAACGTTCCTATGCGTAATACTTTGATACAATTTTATCATACATTTAAATATTCGTACTTGAGCACTAAACGAACGTATTCCTTTCGTTAGTCCGCACATTTTTGCACCGAACACAGCCCGTTCCTCGTGAAAATCTCGAGGAAAAATCACTGATTTCGCGACGACTTGTTCCGGTTCAGAATCCTCGACGTCCTGACAGGTGGTTTGCTCGAAATTGGCTCCACGTCCGATTCTTTCGTGTTGTGCTCCATGTCGCTCTCTTCCTCCTCCACTTCTTTGCCAATCGCCTCGTTCAAGCTGTAAAATTTCTCAGACTCCTCACACGGTATCGAATTGTCCGTTTTCGTGCAGACAAAGGTGGCCTAGTGAGATACAGCGTTATTGAAAAAGAGAGAAAAAGGAGAGATTCTCGAGTGAAACACTTGGAGAGATTGCTCACTTGATTAAACACCGTTTCTGCAGGGCAAATGAAGCTCCATCGTGTTGCACCCCTAGTCTGCGGCATGCAAACGTGGAATATTTGACAATCGTTCTCCATGTCGGCGTAGTATCCATAAATTCTCTCCTTGCAGGAGAAGTTGTCTACGATATTCTCTCTGATCAGTGTCGCGTTGTCAGGGAGCTCCAAACCACCTGTTTTATTCTGATATCCAAACGAATTTGATACATACTTGTATATATATTTACTTTTATTTTTAAAGAAAATTAGACAAACCTTATACTCCGGTACCGGTCTCCTAGAAGTCCTAGGTTGCTGAGGTAACGCCCAGACAATAGCAAATAATACAGCGAAGAAAACGAACGGATAACTTTGTCGGATCATGACGATGAATGAAATTTTCGACAAAGAAAAGCGTGTGTCGTTACGTCGAATCTGACTTGTCTTTCGGATGAAAGTTGTATCGAGTTTTGTCTTCGAGGATCCTGAGGAGACTGATGATTCGATCCGTAGAAGGGTGTTATATAGTGACCTGTGCGTAAGGATCTTGAATATTGTATGAATGGCCAATTCTCGGTAGGCAGAAATTAGTAATTTCATCACGTTTGGTCTGCCAATGACCATCCAGACGTCCACATCATCCTCGAAGGCCCGATGCAAATTTCGACGGAGTTGATGTGCCGAGTGATACGCTCCCCCGTGCAACCACCACGAATTCCTACGGTCAGCTTCGCCTAATATTCATCGTTCGATCGAAAATCCGTCGTGATGTCCATTCGCAAACTCCGCGACACTTGATCTTCGCAGAAAAACCACAGATTCGCGAGGTATTTCTCTCGAGAATCGAACGACTCCTCGTCGAAGACGGACAAAGGATCGAACGACCGTTCCTCTTCGTTAAAAAAGTGATATTCCTGAATAGAAATCAACGCTGAGAATGTCTGGAAGGCGCGAAGGACGGATGCAAATGCGTCGGAATGAATACAGCCGGCTAAGTGAGGCTGAATTTCGTCGGCTGATTAAGAAAAAGTTGTACGTAGCTGGATCCGCGAAGAAATTCAAGAATTGAACGGCGGAAGGATACCCACGTCGGCCTCTTCTCACGGATTTCGATGATTTCGATGCGGCACGATGGTCTGGTTGGCCGCGGTCCAATCGTAGCCCCGAAAAGAGGCACGAGAACCGAGGGCAACTCGCCTCTTTGGTTAAGGCCGCATCGCGACCGCCGATTCTTCGGGATGTGAATACTTAACAGTTTCCATGGGGGCCCCGCCGGTTACGAAACCCTGCCCGTTTCTGGTCATTGACCATGACAGACACGAATATTCCTCCGTGCACCTGTTCGATTCTAGAGGAACCTCCTTTTCGAAATGTTTTACGTTAACCTCAGACTTTCTTCATTTCACATTTGATATTCACTTTACTTTAAGAATTAATTAAGTAAATCATCACCCATATACTTTTCTGCGATTGTTATTAAATCAGACTAGGAATGAATTAAAAAAGAGGATCAGAGGATCGCTATTACGGCAAGGTGAACAGCCCGAAAGTATCGACGCTCGTTGAAAATTCTGTCCGCATTTTCCCCCGCGCGATGACCAGGAATACGAAAGATATTCCCTTCAGGCTGGTCCAAGCTCTGTGGAGAAAGAAGGTCGTGTGTCGTTTCGGCAAGCTTTCGCGCCGCGTGCTTCTTATTCACCGTCGATAAATCGAGGATCTACGATTCACCTGCACAGTGGTGAAGATCTTTCTTATCCGAGATGGTGTATTTTTCTATCTATCTTTTTTTATCAAAATAATTTATTGCTTGTACGTTTCTTACAGGTGTTATTTAACAATAAATTAATGAAATATCGGCAGGTATGGAGCGTGAGAATACAATACGATAGGCAGGTAACGCAAAGTGGACTTTGGTACGAGAGTAGAATCTCTAATCGAACGCTTTGCGTGTCTGATAATAAAGGTACTCGGTGTTCTTCCTAACAATTGCAACGTATAAATTAAAAACGACGAATAAATAGTTGGACATAAATATTATAAATTAGGTGGTTAACAATTCTCTTTTCAACCATTAACTAGAGACCTGAGCATGTAGAGAATAACCGCAGCGACAGGTGTTCGCTGCTGTTATTTTGTCAACGAATAGAATGCGGCGTTTCCTAGTTGGATCGTTTATGACGCTTTCTGCGGAGCATAACTAGAGTAGGCGAGATCTTGAGGTGGTGGATCGTTGGACGATCTACCCCAGTAGCCGTGTTCGTGATCGTCGTGATCGTAGTGATGCTGGTGTTGAGCGTGTTCGTAGTAGATCACCTTGGCTGGGTGAGCTTTCTTCAAGTCCAGCCAAAACCTGGCTGCGTTCACCACCAAGCTGATGATGGCGATAGCGAAGAATTTCAGTTGGAAATGAGTGGAGATCAGTTGAAGTAACAGGCTGAGTTTAGCTTTGAAGAGCATGGCCAAGCCTAAGAGTCTCTGTAGGTGCTTCTTCTTCTTCTTGCCGAACTTGTTGCCACGTCCTTCTTCTGCGATTCAAAAGAAAAGATCTCAGGTTGGGTATTCGTGGATCGTTAAAACATAACGGGGGTTAAAGAGACGAAGAACATGGTCAGATCCTCGAACGCGTGACATCGTTTTCCCCCCCGAAATCGGCACAGAAACTAGGGAAACAGTTTGCCTCGGTTCTTTACCGCGAACTCACTCTCTTCGGTCGCGACTCGATGGCCGCGATTCGCACCGTTGTGAATTGTGTTCGCGAGGTCAGCCATATCAGGGTGTTGGCATCTTAGATTCACGTCCTCTAATTTGCCCGACTCCACTTTCCTTCACTTCCCCTATCGACGCTAGCGCGTGTGCTCGTGTTTAACGGAGATGTAATTGGAATATGGGCCCAGTGACCCAGAAACTTTCGAGACTCCGCCGGGCCATGTAATCTCTTTCACGGTGGCTTTCTCGAAAATAAAAGAGAGAGATAAATAAACGGCGAGTCCGTGACATTTTTCCGGATTACATTTGACGGAACGAAATTCCTCGATTATTTTCATGTCCGTCAAATTGTTCAATTTTCTGGCCGCGATTTGCTCGAAAAGATAACGAAGATAACGAGCCACGGTACCGTTACAGCAAATTTGCCTAAGTCGCCTGTGTCGTTAAACGGTGTGCAAGCTGCGAGAAGAAGTCGGTGACATATCGGATGTTGAATTTCAAGCGATCACCGCTGACCTAAAGACACGTATTCGTTGGCTCGTACTACAAGCCTCGCGTCTTCTAACGTTACCACGTTAACTACCATCGCTTCTACGAATTACGCTAAACGTCACGTGTGAATGGAATCGAGATCGTTCACCTAACTCCTCTCGAATAAAATCACCGTGTATGTTCATTTCGCGTTGTTGCACAATTCATTCATAAAAGTGAGTCACGTGAGTTGCAACGTTATTCTTGTAAACATAACGAATCCATGAATGAGAGGAAGGAAATAGGTCGATGAAACTTGGTGCATCTTAGTTGAGTTAATTAAGAGAATCTCTCGAGGTCGAGTTACGATAAGATAGTTCGGTTTAAGGTCGGTAAAAGTTAGTCGAGTTTTTTTAACGGTGCTCGCGGAGAGGAAAGTTCACGGTTGATTTTATCATGCGCTCCGCGTGCTGTCGTTGGTTCGATTAGAAATTCGAGCTTGTACTTCGGTCGTCGATTCGATTTACCGTAACCCACTCGAGATACATTTCTCACCAAATTCTCACCTTGGGCAACGACGTCCGTCTTTTCCTCCGCTTTCCCAGGATTCTGAAGATCGTCGACGACCTCGGCGACGAAACTACCAGCCTGCTCGATGACAGCACTCATGGGTGTCTCGCTTTTCCTTCCAGTCACTCGCATCTCGATCTGATCCATGTTCCTGGCCAGTCTCGTCGTCAGGCATCCCATTGAATTATCCTCCAACACGCAGTTGAGAAAACTTTCGTCCTCCTGTCGTTTAGCCTGGATCGGTTCGCCCTGTACGTAGAGGGCGAGTCCCAGGAGTAAAATGCTGAACACCACTATCCTCATGATTTCGTGATGAGATGATAATTGCTGGATAGACACTGGCACTACGCGAAATCCACCGGTCGTTTACTCCCTGTCCTTCACCCTTCTCCGGTATTTTCTTTTAATCAGTGCTCGACCTTCCGCTTTTTATATCCTTGGACCGCGTGTCACGGGCACGAAGTGGTTGTGGAAGGTGCGTGGTCGAACATATATGAGAGTCTAACCCCTTCCTTCTGGATTTCCGCCAATCAAGTTGGTCCTGTTTCAGGTGAGACCCGACGGGTATCTCCCCCACTAAGACAGTTTTCGTGGGCACACATCGTTGAAATCGAACCGCCGCGCCGTTTGGCTCTCCTTAAGGAATTCTGGCCACCTCGTGGGGCCGAGGCGCTCCCGTGAATGGGAAAGAATTTTTAGCGGATATTTGGGTATCGCGGAGGTGAGACGGACCTAAAAAGCAAAACACTCGCGAGTCGCGTCGATTTATTGCCGTTTTTTTGATTAATTTGTCTGCTCGCCGTTTCCGGGATATTTTTAGGCACGTTTCTAATTCTGTTTTGCTCGTTTCGGAGTTGAATTTATACGGCTCACAGATCTTTCAAATTTGAATATTTCAATATTTGAAAATTTGTGTATTGGGAAATTTGAATATTTGAAAATTTGGAAATTTCAATATTAAGATGACATTGACGATCGCATTCGTGCGAAATAGGCGCACAACCGAAATCCGTTTCCTGCTCGGTGGAAATGAATTTTTTATAACACGTTGGCGATCTTTCCCCGTTGTTGAAAAACTTAATGGATTTAGGATTGTACGCGTGTAACTTGGCACGCGTGTGAGTCACGTACGTGGACCGACGACAGAAATTCCGCTTGGACTACGCCGGGATGCTAATACAACCTAATTCCAGCCATCTTTATCGTTATTTAAAGAACGAAGAGACACGAAATCGCAGTGAAATCGTTACTTTCGAAACACCATGGGATCAAGAATAACTCCCACCTTTTTCTTTTTTATGGCTCTCCATCATCCCGATATTACACGTCATTCTTCTTCTTCTTCTTCTTCTTTTCTTCCTGCGTAAAGCTTTCAATAGTAGACACGATTGAATTTTGTAAGAGTTACACTGGAAGAATCGAGGAAATGAGGCGTTACCAATTGCTCCATTCGATTAGCATAAGAGAGGCGTTCCGCGTTTTAGCAGCGCATAATATCGCGTGTTCCAACGTAACAGGCTAACTGTCACAACAGGTTATGAGTGATTATCCGGATGAGTCATCGCGAACTTGCTTCTTTTCTCATGCAAAACGTTTTTGCACTGGTCTTATGGTGACAGCGTTCCACGCCAATTTCATCGATTATCGAACATTCTTCCTCAACGAAGCGTCTGCTTCGACGCGGAATAACTTACGATTTCGCGAGGATTTCCAGAGAAAATGGCAGGATTTCACCGTTGGAGCAAGAAAACACCGCAATATTTAAATGAACTCGTCAAACTTTATTATCTTGCCTAAAAGAGAAAATTCAGATCGCAAGAACATGCTGTTATACTACTTTCAAACGAGCAAGTTGCCAAATTAATTTCTCTCTCCGCAGCGATGAAAAGTTCAACGATATTTTTTAATTAAAAACTTGGAATATCGTTGAATTACACAGACAGGATAAATTGATTAATTCGTGGTTTTCGTTTCATTTGTCGTCAAATTTTTTATGGAACAGCGAATTACAGAGAGTAGAGGAGGATTATTCACGACCAGTACCAGAGGAACGAGTATCCCTCGAGTCTCTCGTTCTCGTTGCTCGTTGCATCGGAGTTGGGGACGAACGAAATGTTAGGCTGATGACCGAATTCGTTCGACAGATACTTTACCCGGGTGTCGACACCATTTTCACTCTGTGCTCGATAGCTGCCATCCTTTGAACCACTCCTGTACCCGTCCTCTTGATGTCCATGAGAAGTTATCGTGTAATTAAATCTGTAATAAAGATCGTTCGCCATCTTCTCCAACGTTTGGTCGTTTAACACCGTATTCGTAGAATTTGACGTAGTAGCTTGTTCCTTCTTCACGAATCTCTTCGCCGAATCCACCATACTTTTCACGACTTCGTTCGGTAAACTCTTCCCTCTTCTTTCGTTCGACGAATCCTTTGCATCTTGAGGAATTTTATTCCTACCTCCAGACAAGTTCCCTGAAATTGATAATTTTACTCGTAAAGCAAAAGATCAGAGAGTTAGGATGACCATAGTAGACGAAATTTACCGTCATTTTTAGTTTCTATCAAAACTTTGAGCATCGCTTGCAGCACAGGACTCGGTGTCCTTTGAGTGGTAGCTGTCGCGACAGTTGGTGTGGTCTGAGTGGTGCTGCCTGTTTTCACTGCGATTTTGCACGCGCTGCAAGCCCTCGCCACAGCCTCCGCGAGCTTCTTCGCGGCTTCCGGTCTGTCTTTGAATATCGCTTGCGCGTCCTTCACTTGAATTTTCATTCAATTAATCCTTCGCATACGTGATCGAACGTAACGTCTAGACTTACAGCTTTTGATTCTCCTATACGTCATCCTGGTGATGATAAAATCGCCGTCCTTATCTGTCGCGTATCCTGTCTCGTGATACACTCCATCCGCAGTTATGAATCCGTACTCTCCCGTGATTATTCCATCGGCATCTCAAGTATACATATCAATTCACCGATTTAATTCATCAATTTTCTACAATTCTACCTACATACCTTTCTTCTCGTATCTGTGCTGGAAATCGACGATATTGAACGCGAACTCGTAGGGTCTGTTCTCCTCGCTCGTGTCATCTGCCTTTGCGAAATTCCAGGAGGAAATGGCACAGAGAACGCACAGAACACTGAAACACGTTGTCTGAAATAGTCAGATCGTATTATTCTCTGGTATTAAAACTGAATATTCACAGTCCTCACCACGAGAGACATCTTCGTGGAGCTGTTGCAGCTTCACAGTCGTAAGGTCGAATGCAGAAGTCTTCGACGATGATGTAACACCATAAGCGAGGAAAATCTTTGCTGGAAACGAACAAGGATACCTACTCGACCCTCGCTTTCACAGGTCTCGCGTGTTTGAATAATTACACGACAACGGACAACAGTTGTAAATCTTTTACGGTGGATAAAAGGAACGTCTGTTTACCTCTCGAACACGCCGTGTCGTAAACTTTAAAGTGCTCCTAGAGAAAAGAAGAGGAGATGTTGGAACCGTGGCGAAAGAACGCTTGTTTCCACAATAATCGTCCCAGAGAATTTCTACACGTTGGAACAGGTTAAACGGTACGATTGTCTCTCGATTAACCATCGATGAAACCGTAAATGAACGATGATTGGAATATTATAGGTCATCGAACAAATAAATCACAATCTAGGATGTTGGTGCTTCCACTCTCAGCGGAGAAGACAGAGATTGAATTAATAAATACCGTGGTACGGCTGGGATTTAATCGCGTGCAATTTATATGGTTAAAGGTAAACATGTTCGATGTTGCAGAAATGCGAAAAGGACGGTCGAACATTTCTAATGGATCTGGCAACACACTTGGCCGGATTAGAAATGCATTCTTGAAAAAGTCGAATGCTTTCACGTAGCACGGCTATGTGATCTGAGCTCGGAGACATACAGAGATTAGTCCGGGTTCGATTCGCCACGTATGCGTCGTGCATCGTGCATTTTGTAGTTTAGAAAACGGTATAAGCGGCGTCTCGTCGACGATTCGTATGGCGAGCTGTCGATACAGGATCGATGACGGTGGCATACTAACGAATACCGCGTAAGTATGGGCGGAAGGTGGGTTTCTGGCACGTATACGCACCGCGAATATCGAAGATAAATTCGACATTGACAAAACTTTCGTTACGTGCCCCTAACATTGATCCATATCCGCCTCTAACGATCCACAAGACGCACGCAACGCAACGGTTACGCTTTGCTCCTTTCCAACAAAAAGTGGAACGTTTTTCCACCTAGCGCTACTCGTGTCGTGATTCTCGTCCAAGATCAATAGTCTCCGCGTTTTCTTCGCGATCGATGTGTACCCTAATTACGATTTATCAAAATATCGATCGGTTAAACGTGGTGTTTATACGTTCTCGAAAGTGATCCTTTCGTCACCGTTGAAATCGATTGGTATTATCTCAATTTCGATTTCGACGTTGAATTTAACGGCAGAGAAAAGGGAAAACCGGTACGTAGTCGTAGCTGATCGTTTCAGTATCTGGACCAAAATGCCGTTACGCGAGACTCTAAGTAGGTCAACCTGGATATCTCGTTATTGGTCACTCCGCCGGACGTTCCAGCGAGAGACTGTTATAATTTTTCATACGTTTGTTCAACTGTATATTTCGCTTTCTTATTTTTTGGCTCGTGTTTGAAAAATATTACAAGTACGTAGAAAAGAATCTCGTGTTGTCTGGCCGCGAGCATCACAGGTATGAACGCGATAATTGTGGAGAATAATTCCTTAGTTGGAAATGTGCCGTTTCATTCGCCTGCCCCACCAGCCGTCTTCGTCCTCGTCTTCCGGTTGATGATAGGGATTGTAATAGTGCTGGTGATATTCAGGTTTATGGACCACTACCACTTCCGATTTCTGAGAATTCCTCACTGCACTATAGAACATCACAGCCAATGCAATCTTCCCGATCAGGATACTTCGGAGGAGGCTCATTTTGATGCTAGCCAGGGTCCCAGGTAAGCTCATTAACTGAAAGAGGAAATATCGAAAGCGTGAGGATAATCGTTGCCAAATTTCCAACTTTCCCGAACGATGTATCGTAGGAATTTAAACCTGCATCAGGAGAGGAGCCATCATCATCGCCATTCCGATTCTCTTCAGGATTCCCTTCTTGAATTTCAGTCTTCCCGTGCTTCTTCCCTCCACTTGAACTTCTAGCAAAATGAATAAAACATCGGTGAGTATGTATTAATTCGAACGTTAACTACTTTACGCACGTTTAAGCAAAGATGACATTCTCAGCGTAACACTTGCTCCTTCGTTCGTGACGTAGAGCGTGATTCCTCGAGTAACGTTAAACCTTAAAGTACTGTTCGAGTGTTCTTCAGCGCGGACAACGAAACCTCCGAATACCACGGCGATGCAGAAATACCAAAATATCGTTTCCACGCGATTCATGGTTGCGCCGCTTAGAAAGCTGATCCTTAAATGCAAATTCGATCTCGATAACCCGATACCTGCAAACGGCCTTTCTAATTGACGCTGAAGAATTCTTCTCGCATCTATCTCGCGTATTATTCGATCGTTATTTTTTCTCTCGTTTCTTTCGATTTCAATTACCCGTGAAGAAGTAAGAAATCTTCGTGTCACTCACCGTTACTTACACGTTCCTATGCAACGGGAAATGTTACATATTTATCGCTATCTTTCTCTCGCTTCCGGCGTCGTTTCGGTTCGTTACAACGATCGTGACATCTTTTCGGAATAATCGACACGGTAAAAGGTTGAATCGTTGCACGTACGAGAGGAAAATGTCCTCTTTTCTGTATCAGTGTTTCATAACCAGCGAGTTAAGACGCGTCTTGCTTGCATTCACTCGTTGAGAAGACTAGCAGCCGATCCAGATTTTTCGCTGCCTGGTTCACCCCACTGAAAACCAGGAAACTGGGTCTCAGCCGTCTGTCGGCGCGATTTATGTCATAGAAGGTGTAATAGACACGCGGTTGGTCGGCGCTTCACGTGAGCTCAACCGACTTTGACGCGCGGAAAAATCAATTTCATACATATATATATATATATATAAATAAAAAAATAAAATGGAAGCAGGAAGAGAGACGTAGCTTCGTTACAAATTAATTAACAACTAATCGCTACTGTGAGGTAAAGAACTGAGGTGTTTTCGTATGCTTAAACGTAAGAGTTTGCAATTTTCGGTTTTACAATTTGGTCGATTGCAACGCGCGATTATGCCAGTCTGTTGTCTCTGAGAATACTTTTAAGGGTGACTTTGGTACACAGAAAATGAGTAGGACGTTTGTATCGGTGAGAGCCACGACACGATTAATCAATTTCCCTCGATCCAGTCGAGACGAACGATCGCGAAACGATACGCCGGCGATAGTCTCTTCGTTAGCCTCTGTAATAGTAGTGTTCGTCCCCGTCTGGACCACTGTGCGGCATCCAGCCGCTGTAAGCTTGACTGTGTGCGGTTGGTAGGCTGTTGTGTACGTGTACGTGAATCGGTTGCGCGTTTGGTGTATGGTGCTGCCAACCGGAGGAGAACTTTGCTATTATCGTGCTCAATTTCAGTATCAGGAGGATCCCACCTGCAATCAAATTCGTTGTTATCAATGTTTCGTGACAGAACAACGTAGCTGGATGAATTAGAAGAAAAAGGGAATCGAAGTGCGATCGCATTGTGAACGACGAGAACCATCCATCGACAAATGGGTCGTCGATGTCTCCTTATTTCGTACACACCTCACGTACCACTGTAAACGCTGAACCGTTATACTCCCGTACGAACAATACCTACTTGGTAATTTTTTTTTCTTTCTTTTTGCTTACCGATGAGCAGTCCTTTCAGCGAGATCGCTGTTAGCACGGTCAACATGGTCATCATCACACCCATCTTGTACATCATCGGCATCAACATGAATTGGATTCGCTTGTGGCCGAACGTTCTAGCTTCTCTACGTGTCCTTTCTGAATATTCAACATTCTCGTGAATTCTTCTCGGATTTTTATCTATTTATATTAATTTCGTCTTACCTCGGTGGTTGTTTCCATCGTCGAACAGATCGTCGAGAAATTGCCTAAGCTCCTCTATATCAGGATCCGTGACACTGTCCTTGGAAATGGGCAGTAGTTTGGTGACTTTGGCGCGTCCAGCTTCATACTTGTTCCCTGTCGCGACACCAACACTCTCCACGCTCGACAGGATCGCGGCTTTTGGAAAAATAGTCGCGAGCAACACACACGCCAGCGTCCAACCAAACGGCCGCATTATCGAACCGGTTACGATCACGTGATCCTCTTCATCGACGCCGGGAATTCACGTCAGCCCTGGAGGATTACCCTTTCGTTGATCTGTCGTTGGTTGAATCGTCCCTTGGTCGGTCGGTCGGTCGATCGATATATTTCGGGACACCGAGAGAGGAACCACGAATATAGAAGGTGTTAATCGTGCTCGCACGAGACGCCGTATGATTCGGACGAGTGGCCACCGACGCCGTTCGAACTGAAAAGAGGATCGTCTGCGCGGTAGATCTGCGCACCGGTGCGAATTTCCTCCGTTGGTCGGCGATTTGGACGCGACACGCGTTGAAACACTTTTCGAGAATGCTATTAGAACGTGCCACGCTCTTTAACCGAGCACACGATCATCGCATCGTTGCACACTTACCAGCTCCTGCATTCTTTCCAACGGTTAACCGCTGCTCTAGGATGATCTTTATCGAAAGATAGATATTAGAAATGGAGAATGAAAATTGGGAGGTTTTCGTGCATCGAACGTATACACGGTGTGTCCCACTTTCTACATCACTGTCACGGTCACTGTTCCGCAATCATCCGTGTACATTCCTCGCCTCGAATGGGACCGCCTGACCGTGGAACCGAGTAGTTATAGCATCGTCGTGTCAACGATGCAGCATATGGGTCTATTGTTACCTCGAGTGGGGAAGGATCCACGCCTTTCGTCGAAAAGGTCTACGGATAAATCTAACGACGATAGAAACGGGAAGATGGGCGTTTTCCGTTCTCTCGTGAACTGTTACATTCCGCGACGCCGGGTTTAGCCATCGTTCCACTCGTTCTACCTATATTGGAGAGATTAACGCAGGTAGCTTGTAATCTCGACGAAATTACCGGAGATAATGACTTTCTCGGCGATGCAACCGCACGCTGACCCCTTAACGCGTCGTTACTCGATTATCTAAGCGAACAGGGGAAAATTGATCGACAGGGAGATTACGTGAACGTGAAGTTTCACAAACGATCGTGTGACATAACCGTAAGCGTGAATGTGTAAAACTGGCGAAAGCAACCATTTACACTTTGCACGAAATCGCCGGTGAAAAGTGAGGTGAACGCGTGTTGTGGACAGACCTTTAAGAGCAGAGGCTGACGCGACTCGCGGAGCAGCCGGATAAAAGGAAGAAACGGCGGTACAGGTTTACTGCATCGGGTTTGCACGGTGAATCCGGCATGGAATGGAAGGAAAGAGGAGAGGAGAAGAGGCGCCGAAGAAGGAAACGGAGGGAGGCCATCTTGGAAAATAATGCTCTTGGTAAAAATTCTTCACCCTCCCTGTGCCTTGTTGCCGTGTGCCCCGCCCCGCCCCTGGCCCTCCGTTCTGGTCTCGATTCGTTCAAGGACTAAAAATCCAACCCCTTGCACCAGAACCAGAAAGGCCGTGTTAAAGATGAGCCTGGAACCTGGCCATTCGCGATGTGTTCGAGTCGTATACTACCAGCCACCACGACGACTTCTTCTTCCCTCGCTGCTTTTTTCTTCCTCCTCACTTCAACTCGAATACGCTCCGAGCTCGATCGCAGTCGAGTCTTCGAACCTGCGTTTCGTCTCGATATTTTCAACTTATCTTAAAACTCTCTCTACGAGCGTAGTATCTGATTTTTCGACGATCTTTCGTCGGTCTGTAGACAGCGTACAGGAAGAATAGAAATTAGAATCGTAGACTATGTGGAGAATCTAGACGACTTTCTTCCTCTATCTAACGCGAATTACCACCAATCTCGCAAAGAGAAGCCCGTCGCGTTATTTTCCAAGTACCACTGTGTCTAATTGGCTCATTACCGTTCGTAGCTTTACAGCAAAAAGCCAGAGTAAAACTGGATCTACCTACCGGTGCGTGCAACTAACTTGATTCGTCGATGCAAAAGTCGCAAGGGACAGGCGGACTTTTAACGAAAATTTCCGAGGCATTTTCGTTACGGAATATTCGTGGAAAGTTTGAAAATTGGCTGCCCCGGAGGTCGAGGAGAGCTGCGTGAAATGGTCGGGAGGAATGATTCTGCGAATCTTTGTTCCCCACGGTACGATCGTAAGAAGCGTAAATGCATCTACACCCGTTAGACCGCGAACTCGATTCCCTGACAACCCCTCCGGGGACGGGGAAGGGCCTCTAGGAGGGGCAGCGTAAAAATGGAAATTCCCGGGCTGTTGCCTATCCACACAGTCTCGCGAATCCCCGCGTCTCGTTGGTCGAGCCCGGTACGTACACTCTTGCAGTCTCTGCATCCTCTGCCCGGACGATGCTATATGTATTACCATACCTCTGCCATGGCTGACCATAGACCGGCTCAGAAGTGGCCGAGACATTCGCCTCTCGACCGCGACCATGAGAGCACTCAACCCGCGACGCCCACAGCTAACGAGTACCTTCTGTCTCGTCCCTCGTTTCTTCCTTTGCCTGCTGTTTCTGCTGTTCGTTCTTCACGCTGGCCACGCGCGTAGTATACTTCATCATGAGGAGATCACGTTTCCGACGGAGCTGAAGGGACAGGTGAAGGGAGGGCTTGGTAACGTCGACGAGAAGATCGGTCTGAAAGGGGTGGTCGAAGGAAGGAGCGACAGCAAGGGAGAAGAGATTTCCGAAGAGGAGGTGAAGAATATCGACGTGGTGGAGGCTGTCGGGGTGAGCGAGGAGGGCAGCGAGGAAGCTAGTGTAGCGAAGAAACGAAGGAGGAACGACGTGGCTCTGGTACCAACAGGCTTACCAAAGCCCGAGGTTCCAGTGGAGGACGTCGACGAGACGAAGGACGAGGGGATAAGAAGGTTCGACGTTCGAGTGGACGTTAGTGATTCGGCTGCTGAAAAGGGAGAATCCAAGGGAGCAGTTGACGATAAGAAATCGGAGGTGTTCGACGCCGAGGAGAGTCATGTGGCCGATGAATCTCACCCCGATTATTTCCGAAAATCGGGAAAGATCGAAGACGAGGAGAAGAACGAAGAAGAGATCGTGTCGAACGAGAATTCCGAGACCGAGAAGAAATACGTCCCGGACAGGGAGTACAGATCGTTCGCCGAGGCTGAAGTTAAACCTAGACGGAAAAGCTCCACTGTCTACTTGAGCGCGGAAGAGAAGAAGATTTCCGATGGGGAACAGCAATCGATCGTCGACGGGCAGATCAAGAAGTTGATATCGATTCGAGACGCCGCTCTGGACGCCCAGGAGATGGGCAAGATGGACGAGGCGAAGGTTCTCAGCGCGGAACGGGAGGTTGCTATGGACGAGGTCGCGTTCACGCAGCAGGAGGTCCAGAACGAGCGTAAGAACAAGGTAAAAAGCATTGATCTAGCGAACGGTAATGTTCTTAGAAAGTGGAGGGATCAGGCTGTTTCTTTGCAAGAGAAAATTAGAGATAGAAAGTTCCCGTTAAATTTTCAACCGCTGCAAGATATCCCAAAATTTACGGACAACCAGTTGCTGGTCACGTTGATTAGGATCGTTCGGGAAAAGAAGCTGGACCCTCTGAAAACTTCTTACGCGGATAATTTGAAAGATCTCGGCTTGACCGCGATTCAGCTGAGGATAGTTCAATGTGCCGAGCAATTGTTACCCGTTCGACAAAGGCAGACCTTTGCCGCGAATCTCGCAGAGTGCATCAAAGGGCTGAATATCGCGAATTGCATATGGATCTTCGTTTGGCCTGTCATATTGAACAATATTCCCGAGAGTATCAGCCAGAATTTCGACAATTTACCAATCGAGATAAACCTGTTTAACTTGTTTCAGGGCAACAGGCAAAAATCGGGTAGATCTCAGAATCTTCATCAAGTCAGGCTTCTCACCCCGAACTCCGTGGTCTACAACATACTTCAGGACGCTCTAGAAGCGTATCCGAACGACGATACGTTGATCTCTTACATCGACCCGAAGAACGAGACTCTGCAGAATCTTCTCAGTTCAGATCAGATGAATATCCTTCAAATGGGCGAGAAATTTCTCCCTCAACCTCTGCGCAGAGATTACTCCGACCAGATGTTCTCCTGCGTCAGAAGATTCGAATACTTCAGCTGTGTGAAATACTTCGCCTGGCCTCTGATCAAACAGTATTTCCCAACGTTGCCTGCGTTCCCAGACTATCAGAGCTGGTACCCGATCATCGACCTATCACCTCAGTACCCCATCTTTCCTTTCCCCAGCTTCTCGGAAGACATTGGCGAGCTGCCAGAGGTGGTGGACGCCGACGCGACGAGATCGAGGAAGCCTAGACCAGAGGCGGTCATTATACAGGTTCTTCGGAACACTTTGAAGGAGCATCCACGGGTATCCGCCACGCCGTCTTATTTCGATCAATCGATAGACACTTACGTCACTCTGATTCCCGAGGATCAACTGTTGTCCCTGAACATGGCCGAGCAGTTGATCCCGATATCCTTTCGACTAGAATTCGCTCAGAACATTGTCAGGTGTATGAAAGAGTACAATTATCTGACTTGCTTCAAGTATTCAGCTTGGCCGAGTGTTAGGCGTTTCGTACCCACTCTTCCAGACATCTCCAGTCTGTTGCCGGATTTTCAAACTTCGCCGCTGCCCGACTTTAACACCTACATCCCGCAATTTCCAGAGTACACGGACCTGGGCTATTACTGGCCCGTAATCGGCGGCCCTTCTGTTCAGAAAGAGCCGAATATACCCGAGTATTATGCGGTCGGGTTAAAGAGCGCGGAAAATTTGTTGCAGACTTCCGACGAACTGGAAGTGAAAATCCTGGAGTGTTTGCAGAAGTTCGAAAATAACAAGATCGTCGCGCCTATCGCATTCGTAGGGCCGGCAGTTTTCACGCTTACCAACAGGCAGGTTGATATTCTACGATTAGCCGAACGTATTATACCTATGCATGCTCAAGAAGGCTTCATCAACGAAAGTTTCGCCTACTTTAACAAGCACGATAATTTCATCGACTACGCCAGATACGTAATATGGCCGACTGTCGCCAAATACGAGCCGAATTTTCCCGAATTTCCTCAATTAATAGCAACGAGCGGTAAATTCGACCTACCGGAGTCCGAGACGAAGGAAAGTACGACGAATCCTGCGGAGACGGTTCAGGAACGAGTAATTCCGGACCTCGAGAAGGAGAAGAAGGGTAGCACACCCTATCAGGACGAAGAATCGAGGAATAGAGTACCAAATGGACCAGTGATCAGCGTAACAGGCACCAGATTCGTTCCGATATTCACCGAGCAACCGGAAACTGTAATTCTCAACATTCTACGAGCGTTACAGCTACAGTCGTTCAAGACCAACCTGGCGAGCTCCTCTTCTATCACCAGGAACCAGCAGTTCCTCGACTTACTGACCGAGCAACAGGCGAGTATTGTAAGAATCGTGGACGCTCTGCTTCCCGAGAGAATACGTCCGGATTTCGCCAACAAAATGCTCGAGTGTCTTCGTACGAACAATTTTCTGATATGCACCAGAGACATAGCTTGGCCATCGCTGCAAAGTATCTTCTCCTGGTTGCCTAATTTCCCTAACTTTGGATCGATCGTCAATCCAATCGGTGGTGGATCACCTTCGTCTCCTGTCAAACAGAATCTAACGGAACAGAGTTCCAGTTCCAATACTCCTCCACTTTCCGAGACCAACGTGAAGACTGGACAACACGGAGACACCACGGTGACCATAACCGACACCAGATTCTTCCCAATTTTCAACGATCTACCCGAGACGATTCTTCTCAATATTCTCAAGGCTGTACAGCTCTCTCTCCCGAATTCACACGGTTCTCCAGTTCCAGCGAGAACCCAAGACCTCTCTTCCTATCTGAGCGAACAGCAGATCAACATCATTCACATTGCCGAGAATCTGTTGCCTGTTCCGTTCAGAGCAGACTACATCGGCAAAATCGTTCCGTGTACCAAGGAGAGGAATTTCTTGGAATGCACCAGAGACATCACCTGGCCGATTGTTGGCCAATCTTATCCTTGGCTGCCTAGTTTTCCCAGTTTCGGCAGTCTGGAGAACCTACCTGGCGTTTCGGGGTCCAGTTCCATCAGGTTTCAAGTGATTCTGTCGGAGAAACCTTCGCCGCCTGCCTTGGAAGGTGAACCATCCGAGAAAAACGCGAACGAGAAGACGGAAGATACGATCATGAAGGAAATGGAAGACAAAATCGAAAGTATCCTGACGAATCTTCTGAGCAAGAGTTCGGAACTCGAGAAATCGTACTTGAACTCTAGCAAGCCGATTCTTTCGCAGATGACAACGCAGGAAGTAACCATCGTCAGATTGATCGAACGAGGATTACCAGAGGCAGATCGACCGTCGTTTATCGCGCAAATGCTGGACTGTATAACTAATTTCAATTTCATAGCCTGCACGACCAACATCGGCTGGCCCATTCTCAAGAAGCAGATTCCTCTTCTACCAGATATTTTCAGCCTGAGTAACATGTTCGCTCAGCTGCCTGGAATCGATCCAGCACCGATTCCTTCTATTCCCGACATTAATCTTCCAGCCGTTCAGCTTCCCAGTATTCCACAGGTCGTAGGTGTGATTCCGCAATTGCCTCCGCTGCCCTCGTTATCTGCGAACGTTGGAGATCGCGTAAGAGATCCGAAAGGGAATCTTACTCAGCCGACCGAAGACGAGAAGGAAAAAGAGACTCCAGCGATTACGCCGTCAGTAGGTGAATCTATCGTACACTGGTATTAGTTGGACTTGTTAGAATTACCGTTAACCATGTTCTCCTTTCAGATAACGAAGGAATCGTCCCAGCTTACGCAGGCCAACCGCCAGGAATCCTCTTAGGTGTCTCGAGTGAGAAGGTCCTCTTGCGCGGTAACGTTAACCGAGAAACAGAGACAATAGACTCGACAAAATCGTCAGAAACAAAGGCTAGAAAGCGTAGGAGCACTGTAGACATCCCCAACTCTTATTACGATACCGAAGAAGCACCTGAAACCTTGTCATCCTCACTTCTAACGCTTTCGAACGTCACGGAGTCTGAGTATCTTCAATTGCTGATTAGAATCAGGGAACAGGCGAGACTGTCGAGCCCTGGTGTTCCAAAATCGAAGGAATATCTGGTCGATGCGTTGAATTCTACTATGAGGAACTCTCTGACAGCCGATCAGTACGAGATCTTGAAAGTACTCGAGGATTTGGACGATCAGTCGACGAGCAAAGGATTCGCCTCGCAAGTCGTGCAATGTATTCAAAGTCTGAGCTTCATCCGATGCCTGGGCATCTTCGTTTGGCCTCTGATTACCAATAATCTGCCTTCTCTGATCGGTCTGCCGTCGTTTCCGAGCTTCGGTTTCCTAGGACGATCGATGAACACCGAGAGTCAGGTTCAGGTATTCTTCGGAATGTCCCCGAACGACTTGGAGAGAGAGCTGATGGAACGAAAGGAATCGATAGAGACTTTTCTATTAGACTGGTACAAGAAACTGTCCGATGACAAGTTTCAGATGAACGTGGGACCTTTGAGGATCAAAAGCTACGGGAACAACGAACTGGGGATCAGTTTCTCTGGATTCAGGGAAGGCAGAGGGGCCAAGCTTAAGGATAACAAAAATCTTCCCAGCATATTGACGATCATAAGCGACATCATGGAGGAAGTTCTCGACCAACGTCCAGACGGCGAGAAGACGAAGAAGGAGAAGGAGAAGAAAGAGAGAAGCATCGACGAGTCGAGAGAAACTGACATCCAGTTCTTGAAGGACAGCGAGGAGTTCGTGGACATAAAGAGATCGATGAACGACGACGAGATTATCACGATGTTCCTCAACAAGATCAGACCGAACGATTCCGAGGTGGATGACGAAAACGTGAAGTATTACAGTTCGGAGGACGCGTACAACGCGTTCGGAGTTCTCTTTGGTACCAAGCTGCACGACAAGCTCTCCGGCAAAGTAGAATCTCTGGATCGGATGAAATCCTTCGAAGGAGGTGGTGTAACACCAGTCGAGCCTAGCAAAGACGTAGACATCGTGCCTTTGGAGTCTCAGAAGGATTCCGACGATCTGAAAGTCCTGCCTTTGAACAGCCAGGTAGCCTACGTCTTCGAAAGAGAGCCCTCCAGGGATCAAGAGGAGAGACAGAGGCAGAAACGAGCCAGAAACTTCTTCAAATCTTTTTTAGAGAAGCACACCGGCAAATACCTGAAGATCTCCAACGCTGACAGCGTCGAGAACATCGAAGATAACAAGATCGTCGAGGATCAGCACGAGAAGGAAACGAGATCAAGCCTGGTCGTCCAATTGCCTCGACTGGAGGACGAAATCATCTCGAAGAAGGTGACCAACTCGATGATGGAGCTTTTTTTAGATGACTCAAATGATGCCAGGATTCGGATTGGTCACGTCTTTTCTCCTTCAAATGGCTCTCGCTCATGCTCGAGCAACAGCATCGATGGCAGGAATGATCAGCAACATGGCACTTGGCTCGGCGATGTTCGGTTTAATAAGAGACACTCTCTTTGGATCGAACACTCATCCGAAAATTAAGTACGTTTACGACAACGACAAGTCTGGACCAGGCATCACTTGGCCGTCTCAATACGAATCTGGTTCTTATTACTACGGACAGTAGAACGATCGAATTTTACATAAGACTCCTTAGATTAAATCTTTCTTTTTTTTTTACGATTCCTTTCCGATAGCTGTAACGATTAATGGTAAGATACTCGTAACGAATCCTGGATCTGTTTTTTTTTTTTTTCTTGAAAGCGTCAGAGGTGCACAGTAAATAAAGTAAGAGGGTTCTAAGGTAACTGATTACGATTACACTAATGGTAGATTGTTAGTATACGCACGGCACTTGATCTACTAAGAGTTAAGACGTAACCGAATTGTTCTAAGGTTCGTCGAATCTCCCCTTAAAGGCTGAATAACAATGAACAGTGTATTGGGCTAGCTTTAATTTTCTTCCGTCACGACGATGGATCGTCGGTGCTCTTTTCTTCCAAGTCTTCCTGGATTTAGAAAACAACCACGCACACATAGATACTCTACGTAGACTTTGTTCTCTCTTCTCTATTAAATAGCACGGACTGCAGAGACTCGATCTTAGTTAGGAAACGGATACCGTAGCTCGGAGTATATCGCGTTCTTTACACGCAGATAACACAAAAGTTCTCGCTCGTTCCGCGGAGGGTTTAAATGGGTGGAGGGTGAATACACACGCACACAATCTTCTTCGTTTTGCGCTATTCTTCTTATCCGATCTCCATATTATAATCATCGGTCTGCTCGACAGTTAAATAACGAAACACGTAGAATGGAATATTGTAAAACATTTAGCATGTAAGTGACCAATGTCAGCGATTCTCTAGTTGTCTCTCTGCCACTGCAGTTTTAACGAAAAAAAGGAAAAAAAAAAAGAAATAAAAATGGGAATAAATAAAGAGCCTGAGAATCCACGTATCCTCGTTTCCTTCGCAAAGACTTTTTTCCGATCGTTCCTCACGACCCCTCATTTTTCAAGATAACCATCTCGGTATAAGCGTGAGTAACGTAATTGCTCCTGTCTCGAGCGCCTCGTTTCTCGCGTTAAAAGGTAAAACAAGCAACCGTGGAGGAGGTGAAGGTGGAGAAAAAGAGTGTGTTATTGAATCGTGCAGCTTATCGCTGCAGCCCCAGGCTGTGCGGAGTTTCAAGGTCCTGAAGGATCACGAAAGCTCGCGAGCGAAGGCAAACGCGAGATTATTCTTAGCTCCGGACCGAACGTTCCCTTCTTTATTCCTTCGACTTTTTTACAGACTGCCCATGACCGGAAAGCGGGATCACGTGGTCGTGCGTTGAACCCCTCGAAGAATCGAAGTGTATATTGTGCGGTGGAAAGAACAGACTCGTTTTACTCCATCTCTTTTATTTCACCCGCTCTCGCGGACGTTTTACAGAGATGGGTGTTTGCAGTACGCCATTAGTTAAGCGGCTGGCATCTGCCACATATTTCATGTTACGCTAATGACTACGGCTAAGTGTGGGATACGTAGAAAGGGAGATGATGGATTTGTCGATCCTGTTTTCGTAACTACGTGTCAATTATCGCGGTGGAGTTGGAGGCTTCGGGAGGAATGTGAATCCTATTAACATACGATTATTCTCGCGGACGTGAATTCGTTACTTTATCGGTGTAAATCGTTCGGGATACGCCTTGATCACGATAACAGAAGAGGCAGAACCGAGGGCACTTCTTCCTTCTCCTCGGACTTTACGTCCTTCTCTTCTGCCGCTTCCATCGAGAACGGTAGCTCGTTTAGGTAGAACCTGACAAAGTTTATCGTGAAAATTCATCGAATACGATGAAACAATTACACCGATTCTATGTGAGAAAATAGACGAAGCACCATTCGTTGGCGTGTTCGCAATCAACATGATCCTCGTCGCTGCAGACTCGTTCCCTTTGGTCGAATGTCGTGTTATTCGGACAGATCGCAGGGAAACCTCTCTCCGAATCGTCGCACACGTGAAAAATCCTGCAACCGTAGTCCAAGTCTGCGTACAAACCGATCGACTTTCCTTGGCAAGAAAATCGAAACGTCAGATTGCTGAAGAGATCGAAATCGCTCTGTTCTCCGGATAATTCCTCGTACGTCTCCAAACGGTGTCGATCCTGTAATCAAATATTTCCCAATCTATTTCCCTCGAAGAAGCCTTCTCGGATAAACGAGGAACCTTACGATGTAACCCAGGGTTGGTAAAGCCACGACTGTGATTAACATCCCTGTAAAACGAAGTTGGATGCTTATCTGTTAAACGAATCTACGACAGTTGTTACTTACGGGACAGTAGAAGATGCTTCAGCGAGATTGTCACCGAGCGAGTCATGCTTTGAAATATTTCCAAGACTGTTTTCCAAGTTATTCGACCGATCTCTGTGCGTGGATCACGATCTAGATGCGACGTTTCGATACTCGGCTGATGCGGTAGCTGTCTTCACTGGCACTCCCGGTTCTTGAACCGAGCTACTCGGAGAACTTATCGACTCTAACGAGCGCGTAATTTCTCGAAAAGCGTGACGCTGTTTCTCGCTGTGCTCTAAACGATCGCTAACCGGGACATCCGGTTATTATTTCGTCAATCTTTAGCAACGTTTCTGGATGGTTGAACGGAGGAATAACAAACATGGTCCGCGGCGTTAAACCGCATAACGAGGTTCAGATAGATTTCCATAATACTCTGACAAATTGTTCAAACGATAGCATCGATTGAAAATCTCCTTGTGATTATTTTTCCTTGCCGACAGATGTCACTGGCATAAGAGGAATCCTGAAGACCGCGTTCTGACTGACTTTCACCCGCGTCGACCAATCGCGGTCGCCGTTCTCCACTTTACTTTCTTCCAGCGCGAGCGCGCCTTTCGGGAACGTTTCTTCCTACGGAATCTCTGGTAAAAATTAATTGGGCGAAAATTTATCGAGTAGCAACCTTGAGATTTTCTAAAAAATCTCGACGAGAAAGTCGCAGAAAGATAAAGAAATTCGAGCCGAAGTTGTATGGATTCGAAAGGGGACTGAGAAATCAAGTTGAATACGCTCCTGAGAGGCAACGAACCAATCAAGCGCAACCTTAACGTCCCCGTCTCGTAGAAATGTTCACGGTTTAGAATCAGAGAGCCGCGTGTCCACGAAAGGACAGTGCGTATCAACTGCCAATGAGGAAGGCCTCAACTTCTCGAGCCGCCTTTCTCTTTAGCATCGAGCCACGGCTCAGTTTTCACGGCAGCCTCATCCAGGAACCACTTGCAGAATGTCTCGAAGACAGAAATCTGGTGAAACGTTATCGTAATTTCCATCGTTTGTCTTCTTCACGCCCGACACTTGGATTTCGCGCGCGCCTCGCCGGCAATCACGATCTGATCCAGCGGCGAATATGTGAGAGACAAGTCCTTCTTAAAAAAAAAAAAAAGAAAAGCGACGACTGTCATCGTGCTTTCGGAGCCTTTTCGGGCAAAGTGCAACAAGGTATTCCATCTTTCGAATTTAAATATCGAATTTACAAGCTTGCGTAGTTAACGTCGACGGTTGAATCTTTCGATAAAAATGGAATAAAAACGCGCTGGTACACGATGGCGCGGTTCCACGTGCGTTCGCGCGTCATCTGCTAGCTTCGGTGAGTGGTGATTTCGACGCGTGGACAGCGATACGGTTTACTGGTTATTACGTTGCCTATTGCAACTTTCCTGCGATTAGTTTCCTCCTTAACTACCGGTCGTCAATTTCTTTCTATCTGTCCCTTTCTATCTGCGCTTGTTAACTCTTTCAAGAGAAGACCTATCGACACCGTGGTCGTGTAGAATTTCATCATTGTCTCGTGAAAACGATACAGAGTTTCGAAAGAGATCGGATTTTTCCTAATGCTACCTGGCGGAGAGTAACCGCAGCAAGGACATCTGGTGAAACGAAAATATCCTTGGGTTCTGGTCGTGACGCAGAAGAAAAGGTGAATAAGGATTGTTGAGAATCGGCATTGCGGTAAGATGTTTCGTGCTTTCTCCCGTCACATTGTCATAATAACGTTAATTGGCCTAAGAAAGTGGAGCGTGGTTTATTGTATCTTCTTCGCGCATCAATTATTTCCAGCAAGATCGAGGAACGGACACAGCGTCGTTCACACGAGATTTCTTTTTTAATTATTCACCAAGTTCATTTTCACGCTTCTCTCCAATCGATTTAACCGCGTTCCCATCCCTCTGCTCAGAGTCGTTACTCGCCGCGCGTTACTTTCGATACCACCACGGTCAGATTTCTCCGATTTCGCGGCATTAGAAACCAGCAGAAATATCAGGTGTCAAAGGCGATATTACGCCAGTAGAAGAACCGGTGCAAGAAGCGTGCTTTTCCTTTTTCATTGCAGGTCTGAAGTTTGAACGATTCGGTTCATTGCTTATCGTGGCGGCCCAGCTAAGGTCGGCTGAAAATAAGTGAAAGGATCAAAGCGTGTTTTCATTCCGCGTGCGTCTGTTATTATACAACGAGCTCTTCGGTACATTAGCTAGGGCTCGCGTTGCATAATTTCGTTAGAAAGAAGAAGAATGAAGGGAAAAGGAAAGAAAATTTCTTAGGCTTTCGAGAAAATATTCGTTCGCGGGTCGAGTCTCGCGTTTATTACTGGCTGTCATGGAAGGCTCGTATTATGTTCCGAAACGTTGCATAAACGAGCGGCGAAACTAGATCACCACGCTTTTCTTTTTGCCTTCTCGCTCGCTGAATTACTAGATTACTGGAACCGTAATAAACCGTGCTTATTCATTTCTCAGGTCAGTGGGCCTCGCGAGCGTTCAATCCTTCCGTTTGCCACTTTTCGATTAATTACGATTAACACTCCGGCAGGCCATCAGGGCCTTTCATTACGCTCCTCGACCCCGTTTAAACGCTGGTTGAGGCCGCGTTGTTAAATCATCGATCGAAATAAATATAACTCGTTTGGCTATCGCTGGCCCACGCTTTCCTCCACGAGAGTCTTTTCTCCTACTGCGAACGCTTGCCCACGATCTAACGGTTAATCAGAGACCTAATTTCTATTTCTTTCTTTTTCAACTGAAATCACGCAGCGTGTATTTCAATTACTTGTAACTCTTTTTCAACAACATGGAAAGATTCGACGATAATCTCTCGTGATTCGATGGAAAGTGTAGGCAGCGATCAGCCTCATGGCGCGCCATTTCACTTTCAACCGGTGAATGCAGGCGGTGATCGTCAGTTTCCCTAGGTCTGCCAAATAGCTTATCTCATCTTCGACAGCTTTCTATAAGTTGCAATCTCGCTGAAAAGAAAAAAGATCGAATTGAGAGACTTTCGTGAAATCTTAATTAACGCGATTGTCTCCTGAGAGCAGATTCGGTTTATCTCGCGACCTCGGAATTGTCGTGCAGAAAAGGTTGCTTAAACAGATTGGCGGATAACGAATGCTCGCACGCGATCCCTCGTCAAACACAGTATGGCAAGGAAGTAACAGCAACGAGGTCGTTCGTCTTTTTACGACTTCTTTGTCTCTCTAAGCTCCGCGGAGCGGCGATCCGCGAACGAATTAGTCGCGCCTCGATGTTGACCACCCCGCCCACGAAATTTCCCATCTTTCTCTCTCCTCCAGCGCGATTCGTCGTCGTAACGAAATAAAGTTGAGAAGTCCCTTCGCGAGGAAGTTTCTACGACGGCTGGATGCGTCACGGTTTTTAAAGAGGAACGAGGAAAATGGAAAGGCAACCGCCAGACTAATTCTAGGGTCGCGTTTCGAATCGGGGGAAATTTTAATTGGCCTATGGAGTATCTATAAGCCTTGTTATCGTGTTTGTGGATCTAAAACGCGGGACCAACCGACCGCGGGGAAAACTTTCTCACGTTTCGCGCGAAACGGCGCGATTACAACAGGACTGGTGACTAATAAAAAGAAGAAAAAGGGAAAAAAATGTTCTGCCAGTTGTTCGAGTAATTGTTCCCGTTACCGCTTTTCATCCAGGCAACACGACCAACCACACCGACGGATAATGAGCAATTAATTTCGAACGCCCTGTTGTTTCGTTCCACGCAGATGATACTTCTCCCGTTATTATGGATCTTGATCCTGCCAGCCATGGGCGGTTACGTTCCACCCGGGCCACGGTTCAGGTGTCCAAGGGAGCCCAAGTACATCTATCCGTGCGTCTGCGTTCGTGGAAGCGACAGAGGACTGTACGTTCGCTGCGAGAACACCAATCTGGCCAGCTTGAGCTTGGCCTTCTCCAATCTCGGCAACGAGGGCATGCCTATCGAGGAGCTGGTTTTGTACAAATGTAACATAGGTAAGTTTCCTGTTCCTCGCTCGGATAGAATTCAAATCTTAGATTAGCTTATTGTACACTTTGTCGTCTTTTCTTCCAAGGACGTTTCTACGGACCTGCTCTCTACCCTCTGGACGTTCGAGTGCTGAGGTTCGTCGATACTCCACTGAGATTGATAGAGGAGCACAGTTTCCTTGGCGTGAACAGGACTCTGCAGGAGCTGTATGTTATAAACAGTACTCTGGAGAAGTTCCCTCGTCAAGCATTGCAGATTTTGGGGAATCTGAGCATACTGAGTATAGCTGGGCACAGAATTTCCACTTTGCCAGCAGACAGCTTCGCTGAGAGTGGAGCTGCTGGGAAAGTTGAGAAGCTGGAGATTAGTAACGGTAGTATTTCCCGCGAAAGAAGATTCGTTTAATTAGATCTTCTGTCTAAATTTCTATTTGACACTTTAGGCACTCTGACTTCTCTTCCCGTCGAAGCTCTGGCGCCTCTGAAGAAGCTCAAGAGATTGGATCTTCACGGCAACGAGATTAAAGAGCTGAAGAGGAATCAGTTCAAGGGTTTGAGGGATACGGAGTACGTGGATCTGTCTCACAACTTGATCAGCAAGCTCGACGGATCGCATTTGGCGGATTTGACGAAGATGGGCTGGTGTAACCTATCTCACAATGCTATCTCCGACTTGAAGAGGTATGGAGCAACGTGGACGTGTGGATATTGAGCGAAACACTTGCACGATCGACGCGTGTTCTTTGTTTATTTACAGAGGAACCTTCGCTAGAAATTCTTTATTGAAGGTGCTGAACCTGAGTCACAATAAAATCAGGAAACTAGACTCGAACACGTTCCGTGGTATGCGTTTCTTGATAAGACTGCACTTGAGCGACAATCAGATCAACGACGTTGGCAGAGGAACATTTGGACCTGTCACCAGAATAGGCATTATCGACTTGGCCAGGAATTTCATTAAAAAAATCGACTTTCAGATGTTCAATCAACTACAATTTGCGGAAGTAGGAATACTTTCTTCTAAGCCACACGATCAACAGGGGGGAAAAATTTGATTCGTTCGTTTATCTTTCTCGTAGGTTTTGGATGTGTCTGAAAATTTCGTAACAGTGGTGGAGAAGTTGTCGTTCAAAGATCTGTACTTGACGAAGATCAACTTGTCCCGCAACGAGATCTCGAAGATCGAGCCAGGCGCTTTCGAGAACTGCGTGAACATGACAGTGCTGGATATCAGTTACAACAAACTGGAGAACATTTCCAAGTACTCGTTCGACAGTTCCACGTACGCGACGGAGCTGCAGTTGAGCTACAATCAATTCACCGCCCTGAATCAGGTGTCGTTGGGCGTCGAATAAAGATCGACGTACGGGCTTAAGAAATTCTGGAGCGAAATGATCGTTAATAATTGCAGGTGCCGTTGCACAACATGACCGGGCTGAAAGTTCTGAACGTGTCCCACAATTTGTTACACTCGGTGCCCCGTCAGACGTTCCCGAAGCTGTACGAACTGCACACGATCGATCTGTCCCATAACAATTTATCCGAAATCCACAACGCCGTCTTTCAAACTCTGTTCAGCCTTCGTTTCTTGAATCTGTCGTACAATTCTCTGGAGAAGATCAAACCGTCCACGTTTGGACCACTGCCGACGCTGCTGGACTTGGACATGAGTTACAATCAGCTGAACGACGTCGCTCGTGGTAGTCTAACGAGATTGCCGAGCTGCAGGTGATAGATCTGTTCGCGAAAACTTGGCTTTTAACCAGGGAATTGGATATTTTGTTAAATAAAACCAAGATCGATTTACAGGACTCTGACAGTGAAGAACAATCGACTGACGAAGATCTTCCAGCTGCCGATTTCGCTTGGTAGCTTGGATATCTCTGAAAATTTGTTAGAGGAGATACCCGTCGTGGAAGTCTGGCCTGCTATGAACGCTCTCCTATCTCTGGACCTTTCTGGGAATCGGTTGGGTGATAATCTGAAGTATGGTAGCTTCGAGAACCTGCTAACCCTGAGGGTTCTAGACTTGCAGTCGAACAACATAACGAGGCCCCCTTGGGAAGCTCTCAGCACTCTAACTAGCTTGCAGTATCTTTACATGCAGGTTGAGTAATCGTACTGCAGTCTGTGACCGTGCAACTGCCTCGTAGTTAATGTGAACCGTAATTTCAGAACAATCAGTTGACCGAGCTAGGAAAATCAGCGTTTGGACGTCTTCCTATAGTGTTCGAGTTGAACGTAGCCAACAATCAGATATGGAACGTGAGCACTCGAGCTTTTGAAGGCTTGCTGCAGCTGTTAACGCTGAATCTGACGAGCAACAAGCTCGCACAGATTCCAAACGGAGCGTTTCAGGGTCTGGTGTCGTTGAGAACGCTGGACCTCTCTCACAATCAGCTGGAGAGGCTGGATAACAGAACTCACGGGCTTCTGGACGATTGCCTGTCACTGGAGAGGCTGAATATCAGTCGCAACAAGATTTCTTTCATCGCAAAGAAAACTTTCCCGAACGATCCTTGGATTCCTTACAGATTGAGGGAGATCGATCTCTCTTACAACACTATGCCTGTTTTAACTTCCGAACTCACCACAGGAACGAAGAAGATTCAATACTTGAACATCAGTCACAACAACATTAACGATATCAGAAGATGTGGGTGTATAGAGAGAGATTGTTTTGAATTTAGGAATTGTTCTTTATGTTCCTTTAATGGTTTCTTAATACTCGTAGATGTGATTGGGAATTTAACCGCGATACAGACCTTGGATCTCTCTTACAACGAGATCAACGACCTCTCTGAACCGGATGTCTTCGATCCACCGACCAATCTGACTAATTTGTATCTGAGTCATAACCGGCTGAGTCATATACCATTGAACAAGATCCTGCCTTTACCAAATTTGAAGATTCTCGACGTGGAGTCGAATATGATCGGAGTGTTCAGCGATAAGTTCATGAAGGTTATAAAAAACGGCACCAAACTTCAATACTCTGGTAAGAAGGAAGAAACACGCTCTTGCAACCCCGCTCGCTGCTAATTTTCAAATCTAATTTTATGAAATTCGAGGTTCTTGACGTTGATTCGCACCATAGTAGAGTGTTAAACAGAACATTATTTTTAGGTAATCCATTGCACTGTGATTGCTACGTGAGGCCATTGAAGAGATGGCTGAGCACTCACACGGAGATACCGAGGGAATGGTCGAACGTGAGCTGCGACAGTCCGCATTTCCTCACCAATAAGCCTCTGATAAAAGTGACCGAGGATCTGATGGGATGTGGGGAGAGAGAAGTGAAAGAGTACCCCGAATTCGATATCACACCTGACGTAAAGTATCGAAATATCGAATAGTACGTGTCAAGAGATCCTCCTCTAGCGAATAAATATGAAAATTGGAGCATTTTCTTCACGTGACGATGACTATTTTCCAGCAACGAGGAGGACAAAAGCTGGAAAGCGACTTGGTACGTGACATCTCGCGAGGACATTGGAGATTTCTACGTGGTGGTGAGAGAATCTGGCAGCAGCAAGTCCGCTATCGAGAAGGATCTCGTGTACAGCGAGAGGTCCTTTAAGATTCAGGACTTGCAGGATTCCGGCAACAAGTACGAGCTGTGCGTTCTCGCGAGGGACTCCGAGGGGAACGTGAAGAACTTTCGTAGCTCTCAGTGTCAGGTTTTGACGCAGAACGCGTTCGACTCGTCGGCGAGGTTCACGGTGAACGCGTTCCTGATCTTAATCGCTGTCTCCTTTGGCATTCTAGCGTGACGGCGGAGAGGAAAGAGCGACGTACTCGCGACATCGCGGAGGATCTTTCGCGAAAGTCTCACGATTGAATTGCGACAGAATCGATGTCTGTACATAGATCGTGGCTGTACATAGGTTGTAACTAATCAGTTCGTATCGCGAGGGCGTCGAACGTCGTGTATTTATTTTTGTACAATATACCGCTGAACGATTCCAACAAATTCATCCTTTTTTTTCTTTTTACCAAGCTACAGGACAAGACAGGAAGAAAACGTTTATTCGTGAAAGATTTGTATTTCCATTTGTCGAAAGATCGATCGGTAGGATCGAAACGAGGGACATAAAGATCGTCGAGTTAACGCGAGGTTTTTATACGGCTGGAAGGTCGAGACGATTAGCTGACAATTTGTCTTAATAAGTTTGGTCGGCTAATCCCACGAGCTTGATTCCTCCTGGTTGTTAATAAAGGCGTTTCTCTCGCAGACCCTGTTGAAAAAGTTCTCAAGGAAGTCAGCGGGCTCGCGAGCCGCGCGAGCACCCAGATGATTTCATTATTCCCCACTTTATAATTAGCATCCACGCACGGTTATCCCGGAGGAAGAGGAACGGCTCTGGGGGCTTTCTAATGAGCCCGAAGTCCCGTGGAAGTTGTCGCTTCCGCAAAACGACCCACGGGTTAGATTAATGGCTTTACCGTCGATCACGGTCATCCACGCGACACGTTCCAATTCACTTCCTGTATAGACGATTATTCCACGTCTACTAGAGATATGGAAAAATTTTGAACGGGGTACAGAGGAGGATCTAGCCAGTCTCTGTTTCGTTGACGATTAACGGGACTTGGAATCGGCGAACACGCGCTGCGCAAGATCGTTATCACCTGTGAGCAAAGAAGAAAGACAACCTATCCTTTGGAACATTCGTTCTTCTGCAAAAAACTGTGTACTGTAATACCCGTTCGAGTTGATCGATCCCGGCTAAAAATGTAACGCCCAGCGATCGGTAAAGGGAATAAGCAATAGACGAAACAGAGTGGTTAAATGTTGTTATTTGCGATGTTAACGTAAGATAATATGGATCGGCGATAGCATGTTACCGGAAATGTTGCAGCCTTTCGTGCGATCGCCTTAATTATCGAATTTTTTCGAGGCAGTCGCCGAGGAAAGAGTCCAATTAGCATCGAACCGTGGCTGGGTCGTTACGAAGCCGAACGATTTCTCGTCGCGAGCGCAATCCCAATCGATGCTGCTCGTTACGAAATCCTTTGGACACTTTCACCTGGAGGCCTGGCTATGGCGTGGCTCGTCCAGGTA